GCATTTCTCATTTAACCAAGAGCAAGTTAATTGACATGACAAAATCGTCATGTAATTTCTGGAAATTCAATTTTCTGAGATGGCCACAGGAGCGATGACAGATCTTGAAATGTCGAAAAAAAGTGGTAAAAATGAGTAGTTGCAGTTTCTAGTGTGGCAGTTTCGTCTACCATGCACCGTCATTTCTCATCTACCTGATCTTGTGGTGAACAGAGAAATGTATATCCGAATTACTACGAAGACAGTTACAAGTTCATCAAAAACGTTTGTTTTTATGACTCTATGGGCTTCAAAACGCCACAAATGCTTATTTTTACCATCCACAGAGTATACACCTTACACGCACCTTAAAAGCGATTTAACCCCTTAAATATTTTTCTGGAGCCTCCCTGATATTGCCACTGGAACTTAGGAAGATGGTTGCTGGCTATAATGACTGGCCGTCATTGTAAACTAAATCGACCTTTATTAATTCAATTAAAGGTCGAATCCAAGTGCAGATAGGAATAGATAAACGATTCGTGAGTACGAGAAAATTACTTACTTCCCCAGGCAAATCCATTTTGGCGGGTAAATCCCATAGAGTTGCCCTTTATACCTATCGCAATATAAAACAAACTACAATTGTAGTATACCCTGTTTTAACATTTCATTAAAATGAGAGAGAGAGAGAGAGAGAGAGAGAGAGAGAGAAAGGGGTTGTAAGAAATTTACAATAAAGATTTTCACTTACGGGTCTAGATACCAAATGGCTGAGGGTGCTTATTTGCTTCGAGGACGCTTTGAAGATATGGTGTAATTTGAGATATTTCACAAACCGTTCGTCTCTATTTTATTCCCCAATTCTCATTTTTTTTTCGAAAAATGGATTACCCTCCTCACTGTTTCTGCCTGTGGTATTTACTCTGAATATTATACAGAACTAATGTGCACGAGCACCACCTCAAAAAATCCTGACCTGGACTGTTTGTTTTCATACCAACGAGTCCAGATGAACTTTGTTTTGGTACAACACGCGACACATGCAGCACTATTACTACAGCTCAATATGTGCGTGTGACTGCAACTTGTGTGTGTGTGTGTGTATTAACAATCGTTCGTGCACGCACATGGCACATGTCCGTTTACATGTACATATTAGATTTGCGTGTTATAAATATGTGTGTGTGTGCATGCTCATGTATTCATGCCAGAGGCATGGGTTGTTTTGGCCCTGCTGTTGGCTTCAACACAGTACAATATTGTTTAATTTGTGTGTCTAGTGATCTTAGCAAAAACCAGAGACCACACGTGCAAGAGAAAACTGAAATGGATTCTTTTAACGAAACTACTAGTCTAACTTTTTCAGAAAACGTATAAATTCATAACACCGTTAAAAGCAGTACAAAGAACATACAAACGAATACGGTTTTTACACCGCACATATTGGCGTCAGATGTAATGCCTAAAAGCCACTGGGCAGGAAAACACACTTCACTGGGTTTGATCAACGCAATGGACATACACATGCACAAATAAATTGATACGCACACATACACAAACAAACACATGCACTTGTCACTCCCTTAAACGACCAAACTAAGTTTTTATCGACTGAGCCATTTGCCTGCCATACCCTGTGTAACGCGTACATGTTCTGTGTAAGGATGGATATCCCGAAGTAAAGATTATTCCAAAATATCAACAGATACACACTGCTGCGCTTTCCCCCCCTTTTTAAAGAAAATGCCTCCATTCTGTCCAATGCATTGATTTAAGAGCTTTTCGTGTCCAAATACACGTTGTTGGAAAGATCTAAGCGTGTTTATAGTGAAAGCTTATGTTTCATTGTTTTACTTTAAAAATGAGGTGACAACAGATATGACCAGAACCGTGAACGCGTGAGGTCAAAGAGTACAACAATTGAAATAAAAAAATTTAACAAATTTTTTACCAGTTTAGGATCGATGTTAACACATTTTTCAGTATTTAAGTACAAAGTGCATGTTATGATATATCGCACCGACCGCACACATCGTAAAACTACCGACATCTACTTATAACGATATAATACAATTAAATGAGAAATACCGTAGAGCCATCTTAAAAGTTGACTTGGCATTCTGCAATCAAATGTCTTTTAAACGGTACAAGATGAAGTGACTCTTTACATTTCACAGTATATATTTTACATTATTTGTTACTAGATAAAGGCACGGCTGTCATGCACGGGGATAAAAATCTTGTAATGACAAAAATGTACAGCCACATTATTTCTTTTAAAATATTGAGTATTCTGTAGTATAAAAACCTCTTATAGTCAGCTTGCACATGCATATAATCTGTCTTGTACACAAGAAAAAAATGAGAAAGACCATTGTTAGACTTTGAGGCATCAAATTCGTGTGGCAATGATTTGGAATATTTTCAATGAAAGAGAAGTTTTAGAAAGCAGAAGGCAATATAGTTTTGCCTTTGTAGTGTTGCTTGCGTGCTGTGGGGCATTTCAAAGACACGAACACTGAAAGCTCCAAGTGATCACTTTCATATACTTGTATAGAACACCAGAAAAAATACACATTTTTCTTTATGTAGTGGTAAGTGTCTTATGATTTCATAGTTTCTTATTTTCTTGTTAATAATTTTATACTATTTCATCGTTTTGAAGCACCTTCTTCCATATTTTTTTTTTCATTTTCATTTAAAATTGAAATAGACGAAAACTGCATATTCGGACATATCAAAGAACAGGACTGGAGGGCTCTTGTGTTCAATTTGTTGCAGCTGACAATTGTTTTACACGGGTCGCAGATACGCACTTTGCCATAGTGGCACTTTTATTGTTTCATAAAACAATTAGGTGCCAAAGATCAACATGATATTGTAAACTTAAAAATGTTATTTCAGAAGTCTATTTTTAAGGGTTAGGTTTCAAGAACTTCAAATGTTTGTCCAAATTGTTGTGGCGGGCAGACAGGCAGGTCTTGAAGGGTCATTGCGATTATTCTGATTGCGGTGTGCACTGTAAATTTACGATGAGCTTTTGACAAAATAAACTGTTAGTTTGTATTATTGTGTGGATCAAATATGATTTTATTTTGTAAGAAGAAAAAAAAAAGAAGTGGCCTATTCAATCCAATCTCCACTCTTCGGAAATACTTCCTCAGGGAATGGTGTTACATGCATCCATGTACCTGTAGTAGCATCCTCTACGTGCATAAATACTGGGTATAAATACTGGGTATAACTTTTACTGGGTTTCCTCTTACTTTTCATCTTTTTTCCAAGGGAATATAGTAGTATTTTTTAATTTGGGGTCCCATCTGTGTGCCCGACCGTGGTATGTAAACAATTCCTCTGCTCTTCCAAAACATCTGCCACACACGCCATGCCGGGGAGTGGGCCTGGGCTATATATCACACGAACAACAGCACGCACACGTGGGAGGTCTGGACAATTAGAAAATAAATAAATGCAGATGTTTATGATTGATTTTGATACATAGAACGGTACTGATGACATGAAGCCATAATAGAATTCCCAGAAAATTATTTTCATGGCCGACAGACATGCAAGTCAAATAAGTCGAATCGCTTGACGAAAAAAAAAAAATAAAAATAAAAATAAATAAAAAATAAAAGTAAATAAAAAAGTGTTGTTGCACGCTGAATGCAATCATCAGCGAGGGTATTTTCTAGGAAGTTTAAATCAAGTTTCAACAGACTAAAATAAACATTTGCTTACATTTGAGTTTCTTGTTATATTTGAAAGTGTTAAATCGCCAGGCAGACGCGATATAAATTTTGCCACACTAGAAACACATGTCATCACGTACCGCATGCGTTCCCACTAGGACAGGCAGTGCGGCATTCGTTCACCAAAACTATCTGCCATTGGCCGTAATAAATAATTTGACACGTGTACCTTATGGGCCCGTGGTTACAGACATCTTTCATTTTAAGTAGCAGAGAGCCATAAGTCATCCTAGGCATCACCAAACACAAATATGTTCATGTTTTGACGCTATCATAAGTCACAGCGTAAAGAGGTTCAGATTGTACAAGATGATCCAGGGGAAATGCCTTGTCACGTTGGATCGTTTGTAGCCGACTGTAGTCACACCAGGCTGTGTGTCAGTAGACAGTGGCACCGTCAGATTATATTAGCTTACACTCAGGTTTTGACTTGTTTACATTTATTACGTATTGTCTTTTAAATATCACGCTATGACACATCTTCTATTAATATCCACAGATGTTTTTGTTTAAATGCTTCCAATATTTCTGTGTAACTTGTGCTTGTTACCTGCTTGTTTTGTAACTAGTCTATCTGTAATACGTATCCGTATTCGTCACAAGGGATGAATAATCCTGAGACAGAAATCCCTAGAATCCCCATGCCCACCGATATTTTTGCTTTGAATAACTTTATAATAAAAAAATGTCTAAGTCATCCTTTAATTGAAATTTGGGTGTAAAGAATTATCACATTTCACATGAGAACTGTTTAACTTCTGGTTTTAAATTGCTACAAAATAAAATCCATTGAAGCTAGCCTGATCCATTTCATCTACGTGCTTCGCCAATGACTGAGTAACAGTTATTTAACAAGTATTTTCGATTTAACTTATTTTTTCTCTACTGTTCGAATACGTTTACTTAATCATTTTCCTAATGTCAGTCACCATATCAAGTTTTGCCACCCCTGTGCACTGAAATGCCCCTTATAACTATAGCATATGCGCTTTTCCTGAATCCCACCAGCAATAACAGCTGATCAGCTTATTTTGTATTAAGTTATAAAACGAGATGTGGAATTCGTCTCATGTAAGTCAACTATCAAGATCAACCAATTGTATTCAGATACACGTGTAATACTTTTTTAATTCTTTTTTTTTCATGTCAAAGGAACCTACAATTTAATTTCCATTTCAGATGGTAATATTAACTACTTTTAGAGTACACCACTACAAAAATATCTTAAATTCTATTGCAAATCCCAACTTTTGTCATTTGTTCCAGGCGTGCCGACCAATGCGGGAACAGAGTTTATCATAGGGTTCACAGAAAATGTTCCATGGGGTCCATATAGACCACGCCTTCTAATCGTGACGGATTCAGTAGTGCCAGTGGCTGTGACTATCTCGTCTCCATTATTTCCAAATCATACATTCCCCTCTACTACTAGATCAGTTCGGTACAATGATACTCTAACCGTGGACATTCCATTAGATCTAGCAATGAAAGGGACTGCACTGGAAAATAAAGGGATACTTATCACTGCCACTGAGAACATTTGCGTGTTTGGAGTTAATAGACAGCGATATAGTAACGACGGCTTTATAGCTATACCAACGTCATCGCTGTCAGTTGACTACTATGCAGTAAGTTCGGCGCCTGTGCTGGGAGACAGTCCCGCTTACTCCCAGATTGCCTTGGTGGCGACCTCTGATGCGACAGATGTGAACATTGAGTTAAATCCCCTGACCCCAAATCTAACCGTGGTTTACAACGGCTTCACCTATCGTAGCGGCGACATGATTCACGTAGTTCTGAATCGGTTTCAGACTTTTCAAGTACAGTCCAATGTGGACTTCACGGGAACTAAGATCTTGGCAAGCAGACCAATATTTGCGTTATCAGGGAACATGAAAACCTCTGTGGGCGGGGCTCCTAATGAAAACACTGGAGACCACCTTGTCGAAACCTTGCCTCCTGTGAACACCTGGGGGACAGCGTTCGTGCTGGTACCAACCAGTCGACCGGGAGAGAATATATATACAGTCATTGGTAAGTTAGCTTTCTTGTTTCTTTTATATATGTTATTTTGATTTTTAAATATTTAATCTTTAAAATATATTTAACACAGTGATGGTTTTATGTACCGTATAGTTAAAATAGTTAAAACGCCCTTCAGTTTAAAGTTTAATTTCTCCATTAAATGTCATTAAATATTTCATGGCATTGCCTCTGAAATTAATCAAACGGTTACACGGGAAAGTCTTTTTGAAATTCCTGAGGCTGGTTACCAAAACATAGTCCGCAAACGCAATGTTCAAATTTTGCGTGTCGGGGTGGCGTGGGTGATCTTTATTTTTAGACTTTGGTAGCCTTTTTCCAGATACTTGATATCATGTTGCACTGAGTAAACGTTTTCAACTTACATGGTTTGATATTTACTCCTCTGCTTATATACTTGTACTCTAAATACGTGCTCATATCATTGCAGGATCCCAGCACACCATCAACGTGACTCTTCAGTGTGGAGAGACAACGGAAACGCACAGCGTCAACACCAGGTATGTTAAACTGGTCACAGAGTCACATTCCCCCTGCTATGTTGAATCTGTTTTACCAGTCTCCGTGTATCAGTTTTCCCGATCAGTGCCCTTGGGTCGGCGCCGAGGGGATCCGTTTGCCGTCTATTTGCAGCCCACACAGCAGTTCCTGGAGAGATACTCATTCCCGACACCGAACCTGGGAGGATATAAGCATTATATTAACATTATATCTCGCAGAAATGAAACCAATGGCCTAAGACATGATTATAAGCCAATTGTAACAAACTGGACTAGAATGACACACGGATATTCCGTTACACAATTACAGGTATCTCCTGGAAGGCACGTGCTGAGTCACGAGACCCCTGGAGTAAAGTTCGGTGCATATGTCTACGGCAAAGCGTTTGGTGAGTCTTACGCCTTCCCTGCTGGCCTTGGGCTCTTAAACCGACGCTGTAGGAGAACAACTCCGAGATATAACGACGGAATTGACAACGATTGTGACGGTAGAATCGACGAGGAACTTTTCAATATAGAAGATGACGACGGAGATGGCCTCACAGACGAGGATTATGGAAGTGCCAGGCGCAATCGCCCCCTTCAACCCGAGAGGGCAGTGCCTTTCGAGAAGAAAATTACGCCTCAGGGGCAGTTGGGTGAATTCGGTGGCGTTGCTAAAACCCGTGCCTCAGACCACACTGTAACTTCAACCTCCTTTACGACAACTGAAAGATGCACGACCGCAGTGGAAGTTGAAAGAGCCAAAACGGAAAGCAGCACGTTTGCACATAATATGCTAACCGACACAACAACAGAGAGTGGAAATCCAACCAGTGTTACAGAGGCGGGAGGTGACGTGGAACATGTTACACGGAAAATACATGTAGTTAACCAGAATAATTCAGATGATATCTTGTCTCACGTAAGTACATGTACATATAAAATTTGTTTTTTCTATTCGAAAATATTAATCATGGTATTAAAGGATAATTTACATGACATACAATCCACAAATAGACGTCAAAGGTTGCTAGACCTAATTACATTAAATTATTTTATAGAATTGATGTTTTTTTTTTGGCATGTTCAGTTTCAGTCATTTGCGTCTCAGAAAAGGGGAAAAATATGGACAGTTATTCTAATGTTATATGGTATTCTACTTCATATTTGCTTTTGGGTCCCTTTTGTGTAGTTCTTAAGTGAATTTTCTGAGTGCATTCATTAAGGGCCCTATGTTTAAATACAACAGTCTTGCGAGTCGACACTTGCATATTGATTTGAGTATAGGCTATTTTCTAATCCTCTGTGTTGGTGGCGTTTTCTGTAGCATTTATTGGAAATAATGTGCGTTCTGTACAAAAATTTTCTGGTAAATTTAATATATATTGATACGATACAATTCAACGATTCTATTTGTCCTGCTTTTCAGCCTGGTTTTTGCATGCATGTGTATACACTAAACCTTATTTCATTTTCCCCCTTCTAGAACTCCTCCACACTTGGAGAGCCATTACCTATACCGTATGACCTTCTTTTGGCAGCGGTAACACCACTTCTGCTGATAGCGTTGGGCTGCATTTTGATCATCTTGATATGCAGACGATTTCGTGGATCAAAGAAGCCTCCTACAGATCATCGCACTGCACATGCGCAAACGTCAGGTGACATTGTAAGCAGAGGTGACGTCCTTGTCACCAGGACAGCAGAGACACAGACCGAGGCTGCGGTTTTCGTGACATTTTCCCAAAACAATTGTCCTCAGTTGTATTCAGTGTTTGGGAACAAAGGGAATCCAAAAGTCCTCAATAAACAAAGCAGTTTAGTAAGCATTGAATTGTCAAGAAAATGCCAACCACATGCCTATAATTTTACCAAAGCAATAGAGACTTATAAAAAGAAGAGAGTGTTCGACAAGGAACCTAAAGCGTGCAGTAAGACTTCTCCGAAGTTGCTTCGTGTCAACCCTAATGTTTACATGACCAGTCAGGGTGGACGACTGGATTTTCCTGTCATAAAGCAAAATAGACCATTGGAGACTTCACGGGCTGTAAGAGTAACCGATATAGACTGGTAGCCTCGTGATTGCTGACGTTTTACAATAAATATTATTTCTATGTGAATGTTTAATTGCATCATTATAATATAGGCTGTGTTTGTGTGTGCGGTGCGTATGAGGAAGGGGAGAGACAGATGAAAAATGGACTCCACAGCAAATGTTTTGTTTTATTGGAATGCTAATTTTTAAAACTTGGTACAGGTTTTGGTCATGCATTAAGTCCAACAAGGTTGGTATCACATTTTTATGGTTTCACAATCATGGTATGATTCAAAATATGAAATCAAAATATTAAAGAAGATAATGCCAATTTTTCATTTTACCAAATTAAACCTCCTAGCTAATTTCATCCCAAACAATAATAAAGCTTGGAATTTACGGACTGAATGATGTAACAAATATCTGAAAAAGAAAAAAATGAGAAAACATGATGACAGTCATGCTAGTTTTTGTACATGGCCTTACATGACCTAAGTTTTTATTACTCAATTTAAAATCGACAGGTCCGTTGAATAAAATGCATATTTCATCTCTTCTTTCAGCTTAAATATTTTCAATATGTTCGAAATACCTACTAAGGAAATTTCAAATTTTATGATAAAATAATAAAGTATTATCATTAATATAATAATTTTCTTTAATATAATCTTATATCACATGTATTGACATTGAGTGAGTTTAAAAAATGAAATCATGACAAGATATTTCTTCAATTTTATATTTTTCAACTTATTCAAACAATGCTTTTTTCATTATTTATTTCTCTAATCCGTCATATCTCAATAAAAAAAAGAAAAGAAAAGAAAAAAAGAAAAAGGAAAATTAACAAAACTTTTAATTTCTGAACCCAGGCACCATTAGACACCAGAATCCAAAAGAAATTTAAAGTTTTGATCATTGATTATGATTAAATTAACACTTTTATCTGGAAAATTGTAAAATAGTGTTTGGGAAGGACTTGTTTATTTTTTATATGGTTTTCAAAATATTGATAATATTTTATCATTAAGGCTAAAGACATTATTTATAGGTTATTTCCAGCATTTTATGAAGATTTTTTAAATTAACAAATAATGGTTTAATCCTATCAATTTGTCCTTCCAAAATGGTGCCTATTTTAAAAGTTTTTTTCAGTAACTACAATGTGCAAATTTTACCATACGTTGATTCTATACGCTATTGTGTGACAGGACCTTTACCAAGACAAGTGGCTTACTAGGAGGCGCCTTCACACAAGAAGCGGTCTTCCCTGATTGCAACGCTTTCCATTAAAATCATAGAAATGTGATAATGGGCAAAGAGAGATGTCGATGTTGGTAGTGCTGAATTTCGAATTACTTCCATTGCTACTGTTTTCCTTTTAGTGTTGATCTAGTCCGTGCTTGCCCATACGTGGTTTGAAAACATCCGACTGATACTGAAAACAAAGGTTGCTGTTTATTTTCCGACGTATTTGCGAGAGCCACATATTTAGGCAGCCTACAATTCTCTTCTATAAGATCTAAGGTCGGAAATCGACCCCTTCCCCTTTAGACTAAATGGATCATTTATTTACCCAGCATTCTGTCTAGTCGTCCGAAAGAAATATTAATCATTATATGTTTGCTCTCACATTCTTCATAAGATATAGAAATAACTTTTAGGAGGAACTGTTTTAAGTATAATAGACTAAATTAATTCTGTGACGCTAAGTATACATTTTTAGGACCCACACCCAAGATATTTCATACCAACACACCGAATCTACACAGTACAAATAGCTATGGCCCGAACAAGACGGGTACTTTCTATATAACTAGTTAATCTTAACGGCAGCTTAGCAAAGGGTTTTACCAGGCCCTCGTGAAAGAGAAGAAAAGAATTCAGTTTTTATACAATTATCCTGTAAAATCCTTTGGTTCTCAAAGAACAAGGGTATGATAAAAGTCAAATTTTGAATTAATATTTGGAATTTCGGTTTCGCTCGAGCTTCAAAGAAAGAATTATAGCCCAACAAACGTTTTATGCCATTTTATACCCTTTCTCAAAAATGGTTTATTATACATGTATGATGATATTTGACAACTGCTTTTTAGAGATAGCTCCGGTAATTAAATGAATTTTACAAAAATATTATGTTGTCAAATCACAGGATTCACCGGGATCAGTGTCTCATTATCAAAGCGTCATTACCAAACAGGGCAACTGTTTTTATTGTGAAGTGAAAAAATTTGATTCGGTTAATGGGATTCTTACATGGATCTGTCAGCCGTGGATTTATGGGTATGAGGGTTTAATAAAGTTACGAGTTAGTGGGAAGCGTTCTATCGAGGCCCATATCTAAGACAGTGAACATTTATCGAGAAGTTTTCCTAGAATGCCGTAAAAAATACTTCATTTTTGCCCTCGGGTTATAATACGTCTTGTGATTGACAGGTATCAAATAAATTCAGGCAATTAACTTCAATTTTGATGGAAGCTGTCAAGTGCACACGACTTTGATTGACAGTTTTAAAAACAAACGTCAGTCACAATCATTACACAGTTGATCACTATAGTCGTCGTACATGCAAAGCTCCAGATTTTATATCCTTTGATTGGCAGTTGCTAAGCAAATTCAATTAATTTTGATGAAGGCTGTCAAATTCAGTCGGATTGATTGAAGGGTTATATAAACAAACGTCAATCATCACATATTTGATCTCTATGGCTTTGAACAGCGTGAAAAATATAAGATATTGAGCGAAAGGAATGATTCTTTTTTTTTTGCGTTATTTGTGGAATTTGGGCAATTCCATTATTTGTTAAAATTTGCACATTTTTCAAGGTTCTGTAATCAAAGCAACTTATTCATTTTATCAAAACTGTCACTTCTGTTGTAGTTGAGAAAGGATTTATATCTTAATTTTTGTTAACCTTCTGCTTTACTGAAAGAAAGACATGCCCCTGTGTTTAGCAGTGGTTAGAAAATACTTAAAATATTATTGTAAACTAATCTTAGGAGTTTTTCATATTAGGCATTCATCCCTATCATAATAAACATTACTAACTCGCTCTTGTGAATATCCCATTAGATCGTTTTATTGCAGTAAAGCGTGGATGAAATAGTACAACTCACACAGAGTTGTTGTATTTACGAGCCAGCTGCAGGGATTATGTGAAAGGGCTAATACGAATCCATGATTGTTCCTTATCAAAGTCTAAATCTTAAATCGAGGCTTGGTGCGGAAGGTGGTCAACTGTGTACTATTATGTAATCCAGATGAGCCTTTTGGTGAGAGGTGTTCAGGGAGGACCAAGGTCAGTGGGCAAAAATGGAGAAAAAATGAGCCTGTGCCACACTGCGACAATTTTCTTACGAAGAACGAAATTTTGGCGTCGAAAACTGCAGCAGTCGATAGTAAGTACTGTATTGATGATATAACTACGTATTTTGCGTCGACAATATTTTTCAAAATCGTACATTTCCCACTTTAGGCATTGGCGTGAATGCTTTGAATTCCAAAATGAGCTTGAAGTTTTAACGAATTATTTTCTGTTATTATTATTTTTAGAGGGAATACATTGGCCAATAAAGAATGGAGGGGTTTATTCCAGCTGTCCAAAAATCTGAACATGTAAATCCATCTAAAACACAAAGACTGGGCAGGTAACTACATTCATAGCTCTTTAATGGCACCCTTGTCATTCTTGACAACATTTTTGACAAGCTATTTATTTATTTATTTTGTTTGTTTTTTAAATGTAAAATACATTTAGTTTATTGCAGTTTACTGAAAACAAACAGATATTTCTCTATAGAACTAGCAGTGACATACCCAGTATATTTGATTGGTAGGCCTACTACGTTCTTCCTTCATGTATGATTTCATTTACATTCCGTCCATATACTGGTACTGGCTTGTATGTCATGGTCTGAGGGGATCCGAAAACTCCTTTTCACATTTGGCCTTGGGGGTGTGTGGCTTAGCCAGTCATCTCCAAAAAATTTCACCACAATTTTCAAACAAAGACAAATCAACCACTATGCCCAAAAATGCAATAGTAAACTTCAAGCCAACAGTAAAATGTCTCTCTTCCATATACTTAACCAAAAATGTGAAAGGACAACTTAAAATAACAAATTATGACACTCTATCAACCATTGCTAAGCTTGCGGATTACTCGGATTACATAAATCATGTAGATACATTTTTCATGCTACATTCATGATAATGACCCCCTGTTTTCATGTTTCTGGTAGTAGGCACAGCGGGCCAGTACCCTTCCTTATTTTCGGAAGTAAACCTCTCCCCCTTCACCCCCCCCCTTGCAAAATATCTGTTTTACGAACAAAACGAGGCAAACCCAAAGTGTAGGCTCCTGCGCCCTACACACAAATATTTGAGGTTAAATTTTACCAGACCTCAAAATCCGTAAATTGTCATATTGTTTCTTTTTGTTTGTTTATTTGTTTTTTAAGGTCCCGTAAAATTGATATGAACTAGACCCTTCTGTCAAATGTGTTTATATATCGAATTTTTCTTCCGTCTAATGTTTTCATGTATCCAATTTCACCTTAAACATTAACGTTATCCGTGCACTGGTAACTAAAAACAATTCTCCTTACGTTTACAGGTCACAGCTTTTGCACGATGCCCAGGCTCAGTTGCAATCATCACGATGTTATTCGTGGAGGGATGCACCTTAGTCTAATAAATTAACCTTAAGTCTAGTGTGTTGTCGTGTATAAACATATTTTACATATTATTTTATTCTCAAAACCACATATGTTATACAATGTACATGTAGGTGCAGAGAAACGTGACAAAAGTAATTAAAAGTAATTTAGAAGTCTAACATGTTTATGTTGGAGAGAGAGTCTATTTAGCTAAGATTGCCTTGATAAATTTTTCTAAATTTAATAGTGACGTTTTCCTTTTGGATGTTAAGAGTTGTTCATATTTGATATCATTCGGGTGCTGATGAAAATATCTTCTCTCTCTCTCTCTCTCTCTCTCTCTCTCTATATATATATATATATATATATGCTTTACTTCTTTATAGTATTGTCAAAAGCATGTTCTCTACATAAGTGACATAATCTGTGTTCTCTGGGTATATTTTGCTATCTACCAGCTGATATAGGTAATTAAGGGTTATAGGTTCTAAATTTCCAGATACAATTCCTTGAAAGCTGAAGAGCAATATTCCATTCTAGGAATGGTCTTATACATTCTATAATTTAATGGTTTCAGTGAATTACATGTCTCACCTCTCCAAGATTGGATTTATTGGACTTTTAAAATACTAAACACAACTTTTTTCAACAAGTTGACATCTTTACATTTTTCTATTCCCATACATATTTTAACCACATTCACAGAATACAACTGTTTTACATAATCACTCCATGCTGTATGTAATAAAGAAGAGACAGAATTCGATTTACTGCTCAGCTTGTCATGTGGATCCATCACAAGTTAAGAGTTTAAATGGATATCTGTAACGATAATTTGTATACTACAGGTACTTTATCAAAGCCTTTGACATAGTCCCGTTAATGTGGATTTCTGCGTTTATTTTCAGTGACTCCTACCTAACGCTTAGAAGGTGACTGGATGCACCCTTCACCAAAGACATCAGGTTTCTGTTCTTCAACGCCCGCTCCCATGGCAAGACTGTCTCGCTTGTCGAAGTTTGTCTTCTTGTTAATTTGCAAGGTTGACGTTTGTTATGAAATGTGATATTTGCTTTGGATTGTAATATCTTGTATCAATACGTATATCAGCTGAAGAAAAGCACGTAAGGAGTGTTTTATCCTTTGATCTGAAAAAAAAAATGGACTAAATCCAAGCGTCAACCCTGTATGTTGCTGGTTTAATTCAATATATGTTTCGTAGTCGTAGTATACTAGTAGTACTCTATCCACACACGATGTTTTTTCTTTGTAATTTGTTTAAAGATTTCTTTGTTTCATCAGTCTTCGTACCTGAAACGACACTTTTGAAGTACCACTTTAATAGAATTGATTAAGGACTTGGTTAAGGGATGTACCGGTATGGAAAAGAAATGATTGAGTGATTGTTATAAAATTATTCTAAGTCATACCCAAGCGGAGTACTGTGATAGCTCTATCAGCTTTCAGTTTGGTTGTAAAATAATATGTGTGGATAAATATATAGCAAGATGAACTGCTCTCGAAAATGATTGGTTGTTCATCTTAATTAGAAAGATAATATTAATTTTATAAAGTTAACTTTTGGGAGGAAAATTTGCCGCGACTCCTTTACGTTAATTGCATACAAAAAACTTTTTCGAGAATCAGATATTGGTTGTTTAATTAAGGAAGACTTCTAGATGTAACTCTACAATTAATTGAAAACACTGTTCTAAATTAAACCACTTCAGAAATGACAAATTTTAAAACTGCAAAATATGGTAGCGTTGTTGTAGAATTGCCGTCACGTTTGGAAGGGTCTTTCTAAAATTGTGATTATGCGGTGTGACGCATGCTTAGAATATATAAACTATAACTTTGGATCTTGGTGTTTTGATACTTTGTGTCTGATCAGTGACGGACCCATAGTTTCAGTACTGGGAGGGGGTCAGTGTGTTTGTTTTACGGAAAATCAAACCAGGGGTAGGATAATTTTTTTAGAAATTAATTTGCATTTGTTATTACAGTAGGAAAATATACAGATAGAAAAATTGTTTATAATGGGACTTCCAAAATTTCCCAGCATTTTTGGACATGGCCAAGGGGTCATGTTTATTTACATTTCCTGAATGTTTTTTGAAAAGTTATTTTGAGATAACTGATTTTGTGTAAACTTTTTGTTTTTGTTTGTATATTATCCATAAAGATGACTTTGACTGGGATAAGGCTGTAAACTGATCATGTCTTTATGCTGTTTTTGATTCGCACCTACCGCGAAATTAAGTTTTCACTCAAAATTGTGCCATGCATTGCAACTACATCTTTTAGGATTCGATGTGAAAAAAACAAAATTATGCAACCATAAAGTTTCAGAAATAAATACTTTTGAGTTATTTTTTAGTTTTGTGTGCGATGATCAGCATGAGGACATACATTGTAGAATAAGGAATACGTTCATGAGTGCGTGCGCGCTTCCAAAGACACGATTACATGAGATCCTATGCATTTTGAATTTTCGATATCGTTAATACCCCTGAATTTGGATAAATGTTCCTTCATGAAATTTGCCATCAATAAAAAGACAAATAAAACAGTGTCATTTTTGAACATTAGTGCAATATTATACAGCTTTGTAATTTATCTATTTTTGGGGTTTTAGTTGGATATTTTTTGTATTTAAATTCGATGAATATTTTGGAACACAATGTTTTGGTAGTTGCTCTTGTAAATGTTTTTTTTCAGTTTTTTTTATTCTTTATTGCGTCAGTATTGCTTGTATTCATTTGGAAAATAGTAACGTACATGTTAAACTTTAAAAAAAAAATGTTTCAGTTCTGTCTTCAGCTCGATTCGATCCCTGGGCCTCCCTAACTCCCTTTCCGCTGCCATCCAACCTACTGAGCCATCGCCCCCAACTTGAAACACAATGGTCCTGTGGTCCTCTCGTAGTTATTGCAATTGCTTATTTTGATTTTATTTAGCAAAAGGTAATTTGCTTGGACCCAGGAGCACCAGGATTCGAACTCGGGACTTGTCGACTCTGAGGCAAGCGCGTTACCTACTCCTCTAAGTGTTCCCACCCACCCTCCCCGGGTAGACTTTCTTCTTATAGTAACCAAAAGATTTTTTTAAAAGGCCCTCTTCTTCATTTCCAAGTACCGATCCTGGAATAGAACTTCAAGCCCAGACTTTACCATCGAGCCGCGATGTTGTCAATGAAAATACTAACACATTTTGCATATATTTGAAAAGTTTTTATTGAGAGCAAAACAAATTTACATTTTGTATTCATTTATTTATAAAGCATCTCCCTGTAAAAATACTTTGTATTCAAGAATATTTCCATTACATGACTATGTAAAATCAAAGGTGTTGATATCTGCATTACTCGAAAGATTGAAAGATAAATTTCGGTCTATAAACTATCAACTAGACGACTTGTGTTATGTTTCATCTTATTGATACAAAATAATGCATTTCTTAATTTAATTTCTCTGAAACAATGAGAGAGAGAGAGAGAGAGAGAGAGAGAGAGAGAGAGAAAGGAGCAGCTAAATTCATGAAATTGGACAGAGTTCAATCAAATGAATGGCCCGTCTATCTTTCTACAAAACCGAAATTTCTTCAACAAATAAATGCTACAAATTTAAGTTTTATTATAGTAATAAACGGTTCATGTGGTGCACTCTACGAACCTATACCTCAAACAAAACGGTTTAGCTGGTGAATATACAAATACCAAACAAACAAACAAAAAATGAAGTAATATTTACAAAAGAAAATCCGATCATGCTGACTTTTGGAAAGAATCCGCCTTTCTGCCTTATTATCATATAGGGCCACCCAGCAATTTAGAATCAAAACCAAAAATACACGTGAAAATTAATTACTTTTTTTAAAAATAATCTGATTGTGCTAATTTTTAAACCAAACAAAGCAATTTAGTGAGTCTTAAGTAAGACAAAAAAAAAAACAACTTGGCAGTTATAAGGATTGCCGTTTTGGACGACGTCGACATGGACTGACTCAGTGATATGTTCAGACAAATGCAGCGTCTGAATATAAAAATAAGCATTAATCTGATTTGGTGTTATATAATTTTTTATAATCAGATAACAATTCTGCAGTAAGAAGTCAACTTTAAGGCCCGGTCACACTGATGAGAGGATGAATTAAGGACACAAATTTTCTTGGGATTCGGTCCTTCGTTGTCATTCGCAACAGAATTGACCAAAAAAGACAAATTGTCCGCAATAGTGAGCTGATAAGAACAGTATGAATTACGCATATATATTTATAATGTGTTGTATGTGTATCACAAATAAAAACGGGTGCCATTGCAGATGTTCGCAAATCAGACGCAAGTCAGATGCAACAGAAATGCTTAATTCCTGACAAAACCGTTATATTCACAATATATAGTTTAGTTCGCCATATAGACGCGATGGGGTCGCTCTACATACGGTTTACATACTTAATACATGCTCTCCTAGTCCGCGAGCAAGCCGTGAGTTGCGGATAAGAGCGGATAACAGTGCATGTATCGCATTAGTTTTGCTTATGTATTGCGGATGTATTGCGCATGTCATCCGCAACCAAAATTTTGGGCTGCTCAAAAATCTCAGGAACGGAAAAAAGTGCCTCTGCGGATAATTGCTGACGTGTGCGGATGCTGGTCGAATGTTACAAGCATGCATCATGAATATTACGGATATCAAGTGTGAATATCAACCAATTTTATGCGCAATTCATGCAAAATTCATCCTAAACACCAGTGGGACCGGGTCTTTACATCATACTTGTATGCACAGTAACATACACACACTCATATTCGGCAGATCAGCTTCTCAAGAAGGACATTTTCGCAAATGGAAACTTAAGTTTGTGGACACTATACACTTCACTAGAAAGCAAGATAATTAATTGCCGTTTGTAAAATTTACAATTATTCACCCTTTTCCTTATCTGAGCATAAACATTATAAACATTAGAACTTTACATAACAAACAATTAATACTCGTAGACAATCCAACGTGTTTCCATATATCACCACGGTATACAATATCCAAAACAAAATCACTTACAGAAACGCAAATCATATATTTGTTGAAAGTTTTAAGTTTCTAGTCTTAAAGTCACTCTCCTCAAGGAGTTAGAAACTGGCGATTTTCAGTCATTGTTGTCATAAGTATAATTCAGCAAGCGGACTGAAAGACTGCATTGCTGGAAAATTCAGAAAAAAGTCTTACTTTGAGCTTTAAGTCGTCAAAATACTTTTATTATCCATTTATAACGAAATGTCAAGTCACCACAAGCTGTTTTGCTGCACATAGTTCACTTTTACAAATCTCGCTGCGGCAAATGTGAAATTATGATTAGCGTAGAATCTGTTTCAAGGCATACGGGGGATTATCGAAATGAAGCAAGTTTTGTAACTGATTACCAAGCATTTATAAATATACATTGTTTCAAATATTAAGTATTGTGTCTGCAAAAATCTTCAAAATTCTTGGTGTTATATTGATTAAACAGCACATCTTTGGACAGAGCCTTTCGAATGAGAAGCGTAATAGTATCAGTGGTCATCAATGGGAAAATATAGCAAGTAGGATAAAAAAAATCAGTTCCAAATAGTTCTTCCCGTATGCTTTGAAGAGTTGATCTTAATATCTGGCATGCAGAATTCACTACTACAATAATTTAGGTCTAAATTTAAATTTTGTCTTTGAGATCATAACATCTAGGTAGAGGTTTAACAAAGATTTGAAGATATTTATTTTGTATATATATGCATTATGTAACAAGTAAACAACCTAAGTACTCCATGACTGGACTACATTCACAAGATAGTAAAACGCTGGTTCAATGGTTGGAAAGAGAGAGAGAGAGACCATAAAACTCGCCTACACAATTATTAATCCCGAGAATGTATAAGTATATATATAGCATGTGTTAATTTGCATTCTCTCTCTTTCTCTCTTTGGCATTCAAACTTTTAACAGTAGAAAAATGCGTAAATTGGGCCTTGATCACATACTACTTTTCTTATTTTACATATATGGCATCATCTTTATGGCCCACTTTTTTTTATTTGACAACATGTAATTGCGCCGTGTGATACCGTTTAACGCGAGCTGTAAATCTCGCAGTTGAAATAAAAGAGCCCAACCACATATATAAATATAAAATGTTGATAACTTAACTTTTGTCTCTATGTTTACATTAAAAACAGTGGCAAACAGGCCACAAACACTCGGGTTTTTCACTGGTCACTCCACATCATTTGCCCCTTCTTGGCTATTTCTCGAGCACAAATTTTGACTTCAATTATTTCTACAAACGAAATTTGATATAGTTCACAAAAAGAGCAGTTGCATTTTTCATTTTGTTGGGACATGCACGGATGAAGTTATGAAGGAAGTCTGATGGGGAAAATATTGGGGAATGGCCAAAACTACGTTAAAGCACACAAGTTTTAAAAAACTTTTCAAAGATGCGTCACAAATAAGCTATAATAAAAGGCCAAAATTAAAATTCTTAAAACGTTGCTCTGAATTGATTGAAAATTAAATATTTGTATACTTAGTTTCTTGACTGCTTCGTATCCACTCCCTGGTAACTCAGACCTGAAAAAGTGCATGAAATCTCTTTCTGGGGTGCACGGTCCATTACATTCACAGGGGGGAGGCAGAATGAATGGGGGGGGGGAGGGTTCTATGCAATACTCATCAACAGCTGACAGGTGAAACCTCATTTACTATTCATCGATTAAAAAATACACACGACGCATTAGTACTTAAAATATTTTGAAATATACCACAAAAAAGGAAATTCCCAGACCCTAACACTCCCCAAAACGTTGCGCCATAATGTAGGTCACTGGCTCTCCTACCATTGTAGGTCACTGGTTGTCTAAACATATGGTCCAGTGAGCAGTTTTTGACGTATTTGATCAGCAGAGCGTACTATCATATATCTAGTAATATACTTTTTATGTTTAAAATCCATTTTAAACTGTTTTAACTTGAAAGTAGACTTTACACAAAAACAGACAAATACTTAAGATTATTAAGATCTAAGATCTGTTTATTAGATCTTAGTTAAGATATATAAAACTTTAAAATTACATCATCTGCAGGAAAATATATCCTATGTTGCAGTCGGACTGTTATCCGATTGTTTAGATTTAATTCTTTTATTCTTATTATCGTTTAATTATATATATATATATATATATATATATATATATATATATATATATATATATATATATCACCTAAATTCCAATATTAATGAAACACTCACACGTACGCGTACACACCCACTGTATAGACTCTATCTCAAGAATTTCATTTTCCACATTCAATCTTGAATCTTTCCCCCCTTTGAATAACAGTCTCGGGTGTTGACACTGGCATAGGAACACTTGTTGTATAACCTATGCGCTCTACGGCTAAACCGTTTATATAACTGGCTGCGTTCATAAAGTATAAATAAATAAATGTTAATAATTATACGGGAAATATAAATATCTTGTTCAATAACCTCTAATTAAACAAAATTCAATAATACCTCGCTTGTCATCGGCGTTCTTACATTGCTCCAAATGGCGACATGGAGCCGAATTTTTATCTTTTTGATTTTAAAGTGTGAGAAAATAACAGCAATTATGGACTTGACCAGGAAAAAGGGGTAAGGAAAGGGTGACTATGCTAAATTAAAACAGAAAAAACACAGAAAAACTAACAGCGATGTCCAAACTTCTTAAAGCTGGCTAAAGCCAAATAGACCGGATATGATTAAAACACTATCAGATTTAAATAAAAATGGTTAGGCCACTTGCTTGGGTGTTTTTTTCGTGCAAATAAATAAGAAAAAAAACTACAAGCCAGAATCCTTAACAAGCTTCCGTTGATAAATTGACCAATTTGTAGAAGACAATGTTAGTAAATTACTTATTTTGACAGATCTCGTTTCTCTGGCCCAAGGGTTACTCCCACAGCCAAGAACAAAGCAGAAATGCTTACTGATGCAGAAGAGAAGCAACTGTATATTGTACTGAATAGAAAAAAAAAATCATCAGAACACACTTCCTCGAAAAACTTTTACCAACGTCTTTATTCCAGAGATCAACTAATTTATTCACTCGTCAGACTCGCTTAACTAACTTGTTAAACATTAAATATTCGAAAATCAAAAAAATAAATAATGCTTGTCTACTCCATATGTAAAGAGTTTTCGCTGCACAACTAACTTATCATTTTTGTCTGGTCTTAACCAGAGATTCTTTCAAAAACTGTACCCCTAAATTTGAAATAAAATCTACTTCAGATGTGCTTAATAAGAGCGACTTTGACCTACATGTAGCTAGTTAGAGATATACATGTTTAAAACACTACACTGTAGTCACTGTAAGTTGTGACAAATCGTGGACGAATGAAACGTTTAATTTTATTTTATTCATATCTTATTGAAAATGCAGGAAATGCGAGTAGAAAATTACGAATTTCAGAGGATAATGACCTCGTTTCACGAATGACGAAGAATAAAATAAGTTGCATTCACGAGTCACGGAAACAGCAGGGTTCTTCAAGGAGGTTAAATAACATGGACCACACATCTCGGGATGTAAGTGTCTTTCAAGGGTAACAAAAATATGCGATGGGGCTCTCAATCATGTTGACACATAATCTCATTTATAGTTGAATTCTATATATATATCTAGTTCACAGTTAATATTTCTTATCTGCTGTATGCTTAAAAGTTGTGGGCATTTTCTGAAATACTGGCAGTATTATCCTGCGAAGGATATTACATTACCAAATTTCAGAAGCAACCCTAGCTAATTTTGTTCTATATTCGACTTGTTTTTTCTGTGTGTGCCTTTTTTTATACTAAATAATACAACTAATATATTTATATATGTACAAATGTATATACATGTATTTATTGTTTCAAAAGCTGTATCCCCCTTAGGGGACTATTATATTTCAAAAATAGTGGCGGATTTTGAAAATTCCAATTTTTAAATTCTTACGATTGGTTAACTATGAAAATGCATGCAAAATGAAGACATGGGTTCAAATTTCAATATTAAATTCTTGCATGCATATAGAAATATGTGATTTGAACAATAAACATCACAATTTATTACCTTATACAATTTACCATGAAATTCTTGGTCATCCAAGTCCACACAGGACTGCATTCACACACTGCCAGTAGCTCTACATTTCTCCTGGATGTGAATGTCTTATCTCTTACTTGTTGCAATTGTTCAATACATACTTGACAGACATTTATAAACCAAGTGAAGAGAGACAAACATAAGGCGACAATCACAAAATATGTTGGTTTATTTGGAAGTACTCTCTTACATATATAAATACAAACAGAACATACAGCAGATAACAGAAGAGCCAGTCATTTTGAAACTCACTTTGATTTAATATTGCACACATTATATATATATATCTTTTATTATTGAGCATAATATCAGCCAGATCTTTTGACTGCTATATATTCACCTTTGATTGATAAATAACCTTTATACCCTGCAACCATGTCACCAAACTCTTTTACTCTATTAAAAGATCAATAAATAAATTTTAAATATTTACTCATATGCAATATTCTTCTCAATTAAGAAAGGCAAACCCTCTGACACTAAGTAGAATTCGCTTTCCCATCTCAAATGTTATGTAAATTGTACTCGCAGGATAAAATTTGTTCAGACACGTTTAAAAAATCTTATTGAAACCGGCATGTTAACAACACAATCATACTAAAATAATTAAAGCACCAGGAGCAAACTCAACAGGAGCAAACTCAAGTGCCCTTTTCTTGTGTAGGGGTATAAATAAGCACAACTATTTGTACAAAAAGGGCATTTCAAAAGACTTCAGCAGAAAATTAATATAAGTACAAAATGTGGCAAATATATTATTGTATAAATCTAAAAATGACCCAATTACAGCAATGCATAATCAAAACCAGTTCTATAAAATAGTTGTACACAACAGAAATTTATATATTTCAAATCTATGTGTAGAAAAATATTAAAATAATAAATTAACATTTATACAATTTGCAAGTCTTCACAGTAGCCAGCTAGAAAACATAAAATAGTGCAATTTAGATGTAATAACCACTGCATTTTAATAAATTTAGCTCAAAATTATAGCATAATTTCCAACAAACTTAATTCAAATGTTTTCTGCCATTCAAAGGACAAACATATCCTAAACTTTAACAATGTTTATATTCTCATATTTGCTGTCTATACAATATCATGGCATGAATTCCATCAACAATTGTTTTATCACGAACTGATATCAATTGCTTGTTTTACTTGCAAAATTTCTCTATATGCTGCTTCAACTTAAAAAACAGTACCTCGCAATATTTATTCTTCCTGATAGAGCACAGCACATGATCTCAAATACTGCCACCGATTGCTTTCTCATACTCTTTTTCTGTGTTTACAGATAATCTGTTTTAAAAACATTTTCATTTGCTGGCCAAATAAGACAAAGTGTAATTTTTAAAGTCCAATGTTTTTCCAGGCAGCCTGATAAGACCACATTGCACTATTGGCATAATTAATACAGTTTTGTTTGTTCTGTAGGTTGAAAAGATGCACTGTTTCTTATTATTTCAAAACCATGGTACCCTCTACCCTCTAATGGGGGAACAGATTGATTTTTCACAAGATATTCACAGATATGTCTTTAGATAAATAGACAATCATTTCACTCTCTGCCACCCTGAGATGAAATCTCAAGGATGATTATATGGCTGGTAATTGTTTGCATAACTGCTCCGGCACTGCCACTTAACAGATCCAAGCCAAGTCCCCTTAACAGCAATCAAGACAGTTAATTGCTCTGATTTTATTCCACTTTCTCTTTTGTGACAGATAAAAATAGCCCCTTATGAATAGCTTGTTACTTCAGATTGAAGTTACCTGAGGAATCTCCTGTAGTAACTCCCTACAGGGCAGGTACAATGTCTTCTAAGCGTGTGCAGATTTAATTGCTTTCATCTGGCCAAAAGTCACAGGGTGGATTTTTCAAGATTTCCCTATAATATCTACCACCCTGGTAGAGGGTATACTTCGTGAGACAGCAATTGATAAGTTCTTATTCAGCCTGTTGAAATGACTTCTCTTAGTTCAAGTCAAACTTTCCCAATATAAAAGATTTCCTTCCTCTGCTGGTTGAGGTGTCACTGTGATAAAGCACATCTGGCACAATGCCAAATGTTTCTTCTCAAGCTGGCAGAGACAACCCATTGAGACGAGGACCAACTATCACAGGGTAACAGTCAGCAGCAGTTTGTTGCTATACTATGAACTGTTTGTTTGCATCTGTGCTGGAGACCCCAGACAATGGCTGGAAGGGGCACAGCCACAGTAATGGATGACCTGGAAAATTATAGAAATAAGGTTATTGAGCTCTTCACTTCACTGTAACACAAACTGCTTATTGGCAAGTTGGCTTAATATGGAGAAAGTTATGAACTTGCCTATCAGTGAGAGCTTGCCTCGTAATGCATAATTTTCCTCATCTTATGACATTGCTTTATTGTGAAATAAAATTTGTTGAAGGTCATATTCTAAATGGTCAAGTTTTGCATTAAAAAAAATGGACAGCGGCAACATTGACACTGACAGGCAGTGACCAGACAAAATAAAAGCGCATACAGTGGGCTAGATACCTAACATGGATTTTAGTAAGGTTACCCTTCACATAAAATAATCTAAATTGTTTTTAAAAAAAATTTAAATGCATTAGTTTAGGAGGCCCATAAAACATGACTTAAATGTTCAGCTGTGATTTGGGAACCAAGTACCAGAGCAGCTTCACAATAAATAAGTTTATCTCTCTGGTCAATTAGATGTAACAGAAATAGATGTTATCTCATGGAAATACATACCCTTTCCAAAAACTTCAGCCAACAAAGCCATTTTGGGCCGATGACGCCTTGGTCCTTCTTTTTTTACTTGCTCTACCAATGTTTCATCTGATAAAATAGCAGATATCTGACAAAAGAAAGGAAAAAAGAAAAATAATATCTTCTGTGGCCATTTATAGTTGATAATACTTGGGTCATCCTACAAATGATTTTTACCAAACAAAACAAAAGCTTCATTCAAAATCAGAAAACTAAGGTGCAATTGTACAGAAACCTAAAACACCAAGACTGCAAAAAATACATTCCCAAATATATAATAAGGAATAATCATATCCTCCTCATCTACGATACAATAAAAAAGATCATAAAAAAAATAGCCATTACAAAGTTACCCACCTGATCACAGCCAATAGCCATTACAAAGATGCCAAACAGCACACACTCTACAACCAATAGCACAGTGTGGAGCCTAAAGTGAAAAGCACAAGAGACTATTAACTAGAATTGAAACAGCTTTTACCTCAGTTTATTTTATTCAACTTCCAAACATTGCTTCCAATTGTCTGTAAAATGTACATTATTTTACATGTGCCATAGCTTAAACACAGTAAAACCAGACAATATTTCCTTTCTGTTAAAAATCAATCAATCTGAACAGTAATACACAAGCCATTGCATATTCCCCCTCCAAAGCATTTTTCTCATATTTCCCCACTAAAAAATAAAGAAATGTCAGTAACAATTAAAGGTACACAAAAGAGGGTTTTGGCAGCAAAATTCATATTTAACGAATTATCCCTGGGTAAAAGGCACTTTCCCTGGATTTACCCACCTTTAATCTTCCTTTCCTTACACTCGCCACGACTTTGTAACAATTTTGGAAAAAGCCAAAGATCTCGTGATATTTGGAAGTCTCGAACTCCAGATATCGTGAGACTCTTGCATTGTAAATTGAGCTCTTCTCAAAATGTGTCAAGATGTCTAACTACAGAGGTTTGACAGGGAATGGTGAATATAATTATTTTTTCAATATTAATTAAGGTCATTTATCTGTCATTTTATGTATCAAAAGTTTAAATTGTCCTCCAATAGATCAACAAAGAGCAATCTGTGCACTTTGAATGCATTTAAATGCTTATTTGTGTGGCTTTAATGTGCATGGCTCCAGATCTTGGCAAAGGAGGATAAGAACCAAGGTAATCCTCTATATACATGCGTGCCTTGTCTTAACTCTCTTAATTGATCTATCTGAACTGACATGGTACAAATATTTAGGAGAACACCAATGAGTGGGGAAATGTGAAGAGGCTTAACAAAGATTGCACTAAAAATTCTTAGCACTTACACTCTTGTATGTCGTGTTCTAGGGCTGGTTCCTTGTGGATCTATTATCCAGCTGCCAACGGTCAATGATAAAGCATAACAACTAGAGATTCCTGCAAAAATTGAGTTAATTTCAAAATTACCATACCTTATAGTTTTATAATACAGATCTGTTGCAAACTTTTATGTACAGGCAATGATTACATATTATATAAATTCTGTTACGATGGCTGTACATAATACTGATTGTATATATGTGTTTGTGTGAAAGGTCTATTATTCATGCATATGAGAGAGAGAGAGAGAGAGAGAGAGAGAGAGAGAGATCACAACACTCACCTACATATACTAAAAACTGGATAAAAAACTTTTGGTTATACTCCCCAACACAATTATTAATCCTGAGAATGTAAAAGTATATATAGCATGTGTTATTTTGCATTCAAACTCATAGACTTTATACTAGTAGCTAATGTCTGCATAGATTCTTCACATCTCAACCATGTGATGTTTACAAATAATAACTTACACTACTAAGATCTATGAGAAAGTTGGATAATGAGTAGATCTGTGTTACTGATCTACAATGTGTAGTTATTATTGTTGTTATTATTATTATTATTATTATTATTTATCTCTGTACACTTTCTACAGCTCAGTCTGGTGTATAAGTATGAATTACGGTAAGTATCATATTACAAGTTTACTGCTTCAGAACAGTTTGAATTCAAGATACTGGTTTGCTACCCTTGCCATATCTCAAACAGAGAGCTTTCTCCTACCTGACAGGACTCAAAAATAAGATTTAGGAAACATACATGGCACCTGATCAACACAAAGAAACAAGCATGCTTCCATTAAAATTTGAAAAAAAAAAAAAAATTACCATGGACAATGGTGATCCATTCTTTTAATACAACGTTGACAAATCCTGCAATGATGAGCTCGTGGTGGTCGGTAAGTCTCACACTTCAGACATACAGTCCACCCCGCAGGCTGCCCTTCCTGGAAATTTGGCAAAACATCAATATATAAGAAGCCTTTGACAAAACTAAAATTTGGATCAGCAAGAAAATGCTGACCAAAATGTAATGTATGTTGGCAAGCTTTTCTGAAGACAAATTTTAGCATCTCACTGATAATTACCTCCAATAAATTGTTCAGATATTTTTTCACACAAAATAAATTCATATAATTTATGTCACTAATAAAGTTAACTCTTGGGTGGTAAATTGGCCAGAATTTAAGTATATGCATGTAATTCCTCTGTTGAACTTTATGACGTCATGGTCATTGTACTTCCAAACCAACTACAATAAAGAACAACAAGCACGATCATAACAACATAACCATGAGACAGTCAAAGACAGACAGACAGACAACCATGTGATCAACAATTTTATCATGAGCAGCGGGGTAGTTTGAAAATATTTCATATTGATTTTATTTCTCCAAAACAAACATGTTCGTCAAAAAATAATGCTGTCCAAGTGGACAGAAAGATGGCAGTTAGGTCAGCACAGCTGTGGAAAGTAGCAGTGGACTTGTATGATTGGGCACATTGAGGTTTATTGCTTGTTATCGCCAGCAAAGTTATTAACAAATATTAATGCAACTGACATATTAATCTTATAATGTAATTTGGCACACTTCAGTATGTAAAGAGACATGTAAAACAAGAGTTTTTTCCTTTTTAAAACCTTTTCACACCTATTTTTCTGCAACTACCTTCTTCTCCAGTAACTTTTTCTTATTATTTCCTGAGTGCATGTCAGAGAAATCCAGATGTGCCTCAGGCAATGGCACTATCCCCGGGTCTGAGAACACTGCACGCACATGTGACACCGTCAGAAGAAACAGGAACAAGTTGAAGATCACTGCATGAAATGCTCCCCATAACCTGAAATGACAACAAGCTTGTTCAAGCTGATATATGAGCTGAAAACCTTGATCAGTTTTAACTTGAATGTATAGACTAAGACAACAGCAACATACAAACTTTGAACCTTTGACACTGCAGGATTATTAAGTTGTAAACAAAACAAAACAAAAAAATTAATAAAATAAAGAATCCCTGGGGGTTCACGCTAAATAGCTGTCAGCCGGGGGGACACGAAAGTTAATTACCCCCTTACAGCTTGTAGTAGACGGGACGGGCATTTAAGTCGGATTATCTGAAAGTAATCTAGTGAGACTCCCCGCGGGGATAGATCGATCTAAAATCTATGGGAATAGAGCCTAATACTACATAATGCTTAACAGCATAAACGCCACTACTACTGCTTATGTGGAAATACAGATGTGATATGAAGACTAACCATTTCTCAAAAAATGCATAACTTACAAAAATAAACAAATAAATAATGCATAAATAAATAAAATCAGGCTTGTTAAAAATCAAACTCAACCAGTATGTAAGTCATGGTCATGAGTCCTGTAAGTTTGAAGACAACAGGTCAAACAGTTTAACTTGAAAATTGTTATCTGCATTGTACATCGACAGTATAATACGTATATGCCGAAGAGAAAACATAAACCGGTTGATTATATACTGGTAACTACTCAGAGTGACAGACGAACATATAATTTTCCTGAAACCCCTTCCCAAGCATGAATTTCAAACTAATTACAATATGCCTTACTTACGTGTCAGACATTGATGGTATAACCATGTGAACCACCACCACATAGTCAGCATACAGTAAAGCCGAGTAGGTGATCAAGATGCAAATAATCCCACACGGGTCTAACCGAAACACGGCCATCTTGGATGTTGAGGTAATTGACCTAGTTCAAAGGAGTTAATCCCAAGATTTTCTGTGATTGGCTATTTAAAGATAAAAGCGAAAGAAACTTGTATTGGGGTATTAAATAGGCTATGAGCCTGCATTCGGATTTGATTCAAAGCTTGCGATAATCTGGCCTGAAGCAATGCCATATTCACATATTTAATGTGGCAAGCAATCCATTGCGGGTTCCACTAAGACATTGTAATCAACATTAATTAAAGCAATCATGTTTTAAACTTCCGGATTTAATAAACCTTAAATTTTTACATTAAAAATTATATATATATTTTATGTCAAAATACATGTATCTACTTGTGGTCTTTATTTAGTCTTAAATGAGAAATATTAAGGGCGCATGCTCATCAATTAATCTCGAGGTGAAGAAAGCATGGCGGATAGAGGCGATCGAAGGAAAAAAGCTCTTCTGTTCTATTATCTTTCAAAAAGGAGACGAAAAAGAATTGAATTGGCCCGTAGAGCAGCAATGAATCGGCTATCTACGGAGAGAATGTCACCAGAGATATTCACGGAGATATTCACGGAGATACCCAGCCCCAGTAGACGGAGGAGGAGGAGGGCAGAATTTTTGCGTATGCAGTCTCGTCAGAGGGCGCAGTTCGTTCTGATGCTGATGTTTCCCTTGTTTCCTACGCCTAATCGAACTGGAAGGGGGGTGGGTCACGATTTTGATCCCGATTCATAGCTGCTCTACGAGCCAATGCATTTCTTTTTCTCAGGTAGCTTCCACATGGCGAACGGAGCCGAGATTTAATGACTGTACCCCGCAGGGACGACGTGTGGGGAGGCGTGTGAGAGGCGGAGAGACTATTAAAAGATTAGGCGGTTTTCCTTTCCTGTACGTCCGCCATATTTAGTCCCCAGGGTTTGTAAAGCCTGGCCCAAATCGGTGTGGATGCTGTTCTGAATGCACCCGCCCCATTCCNTATTTAGTCCCCAGGATTTGTAAAGCCTGGCTCAAATCGTTGTGAATGCTGTTCTGAATGCACTCGCCCCATTCAGAATGGACGATATGAGTAGGCCTACTTACTGATCCGCCGACTAAATATGGCCTACCACAGTTCAAAAGCGATCCCATCCCACTGATTCCTGATGGTCTCCCCGCCTCCACACGCAGGGGCGGATCCAGGATTATTTGAAGGGGGGGGGGGGTTTAGGAATGACATGCCTTCCCCCAATTTATTTTGAAATAAGCCAATGATGTTGTGATTTTGTCATATAAACCAAATATTGGTCTTAAAAATGGAAGATAGACTGCCTTGCATGAATAAAATTAACAAACCTAGGCGGGACTAGTCTCTGTAGTAGACAGAGTATGGAGTATTGCTCTCTACTAAAATTGCCCCGTTTGTGAGAAGACGCCTTACTGTCTACCATTAAAAGACCCAATTCAACAGAAAATGGAACGACTTTTTATTTCAACCCTGTGTCAATTTCTGTTTCCCCATCGAGTAAATTATGAATCATTCTTACGTATATAGAATTTAAAATAGATTAAAATAAATGAAGAGAGAGAGACAGAGAGAGAGAGAGGCTGAACAATAAGAATGGAACTATACGGCATTTCGGTACTGAGTTTACTTGTGAATGACCCTTAAATCGGGGCTTAAGTAAGCTCAGTATCTGTGGGTATTTCTAAAAATTTGGGACAAAGGAAGCCAAGATATGAAATTGCCTCGTACACAATTTTTTGAGTGCACCTCTTTTGTTTACGTACTAAAAGATAAGAATGTCAAGACTCGCCCCCGGTTCCTCTGTTTGAACCCCATTTGACTTATCTGCTGACAAACCGACTTTTCTCGACCTGAGCTCAAAGCTACGGAAGATTTTACCTAATCTGGGTTATAGAAACAAGTTAAAGATGTTTCTCTATGATAGATTAGTTGAAAAAAATTACCGAGATAAAAAAGGTTCATTTTAATGTCACTTGCGGTAGGAAACATTAATATACTGCACGTAGAATATTAACTGCAAAAAGCATGCCAGGAAATCTATTATATTATAATATGCGCCTTCGGACAAAAAATTCATAGAATGTGCTAGATGAGGCAAAGCAAAGATGCTGTTGTTAATGCTGAATTAATTTTCTTTTTACTTATAAATAGAATAAAATAATTTAGGTAAAAAAAGTATGTTTTCAAGTAAATATTCGATCAAATATTAATTCTTATACGGCGTAGCATCCATTGTATATGTAATGAAAATGTAATTTTTTACCAATCTGATGAAATACAGTATAAAATATTGAACGAACAACTTCAATAAATTAAACCAAGAATTTCAAGTCCTTGATTAAACCAGTCCGACTTATTCCACTATTAGTTTATTAATTTTCACACGTTATTGAAATCTGGAGTTTTTTTTAATACTTATGAAGTACTAACAATATATCGCAGGTTATAGCTCGAAAGATTGTTAACGCATTACATAAAATTGTTTTCCGTTTTAATTTGGCAGTTTTAATTTTGTAGTTTATTTAAAAATAACAGTTTTCACGCACTCTCCTGCCAATATACAGCGACGGGCTACTAAGTGCCCCGGCCCTTTATAAAAGCAGCACTTTTTAATTTACCTGGCCACTAACATTATTATCTCAGCATTTTTCTCTTCATAGCTCATGAAAAAAATGACAAGGTTTTACTTTTTATACCATTCGTTTTTTAAAAATGATCCAAAAATATTCATGAGCATGATTAAAGTAATATGTTCAGTTCGTATACGAAGTTCCGATTTCGTACGAACACCAAAGAAAGGATTATGGAGCAACAAACATCAACATCAACGTTAATTCATGTTTAGTCATTTTACAGCATATCCAGAAAAAGAATAACAACTGATTTTTAGTACAATTAAAAACGCCTGTGAAAGAACCCGGGGCTCTTTCACGTGGTTAAATTTCAGTCTCTCGGTTGAAATAAAAAACCCGACGTTTTTTAACGCGCTGCAAAAAAAGGCCTCCAGAATGTTAAGACATGTATTGTTATAGACAGGTATGAATCGCATTCAAACAGGCTAATTCAACTTTGATGGAAGCTTCAAGCGCACACGACTATGAATGACAGTTTTTTAAACAAACGTCAAACACAATTACTACACTCTTCTCTCCGAACATGTAAAACTCCAATATCCGCTGATTGACAAGATGCCAATCAAATCCATTAGTTTTGATAGTTGCTGTCAAGTAATAACAGCTTGATTGGCAGGTTACATAAACAAACGTCAATTTACAGTGGATCACTATAGTCGTCGAAAACGTTTAGTTCAAGCTTCCTACACCCTTTGATTGACAAGGTGCCAATCAAGTTCAGTTAGTTTTGATAGTTGCTGTCAAGTTCTAACAGCTTGATTGGCAGGTTATATAAACAAACGTCAATCATCACGCACTGTGATTTCTCTCGCTGTGAAACAGTGAGTACGCCGAAAGAGAGCGCTAAATATGAGTTAGTAATTAACTTGCAAAATATTTCAAGAGAATATATACAACATGTTTCCAAAACTAGTTCTCTTCCTGAACCCTTCATTGTGTCTAATGCGACACTCTAGATTACGAACTATTTTGTAAAAAGAAGAATTTAGCAAAAGAAACCAATTTAAACAGATTCAAGTAAAGAAATATGAAATTTGACGTTATTCTGGGTCATTTCAAAATTAGTTTAACTATGTGCCCCAGTATGTGCGTCGAAGAAGGAAGAATAAAAGTATTTGCATTATGTGTGGAATATTGGTAGATTCTTTTACTGTCGAAATCTACTTTCTGCAAACTAAATAAATAAATAAATAAAACGATAATAATCCATCCTCATAAAGGTGAGATTCGTGTTGTGGTTGAAGTAAGTGGTTTAATTTTTGCGAGGCTAAATGTTAGCAAGGACCTGTGATAATAAGTGGATAATGGGAAACAAAAATATAACTGTAAACAAAAATATTACTATCCTATTTAACAAACAAACCGCTACTTCGCTCTTGTAACTATTTTGTTAGTTTATTTTACCGCAGTAAAGCGTGGATAAAATAGTTCAAAACGCCATCACAATGCAGTTGTTTTTGCGACTTCAGCTGCTGGGGTTAGGTGAAGGGGCGAGGGCAGGGCGGATCCAGGATTATTAGAAGGGGGGGGGGGGGGTCCGGAACGACAGGCTTCGGATGCGAAGCCGACCATCGCCCCTTTGGTGTGGGGTTTGGGGCGTGCTCAACGGCCCCGACAAAAATGGTGTTTTGGAGAGCAAACAGTGCCCTTTGGAACGGTTTAGAACTGATTTAGCTAGTCAAAATTCTAATTTCAAGAGGGGAATATTGGTGTGATTTGTTTTTCAAAAATCGAATGGGGGGTGGGGGGGGGGGAGACCCCCCTGACACCGCCCCTAAATCCGCCACTGTTAAGGTTCATGGAATATATCTAAATATACACTACAGTTTTCTTCCGATTTTCTGTATGTGAAGCAGGTGATTGATCAACGACAGACCCATTGCCAAAATTTCAATTACACTGTATGGGTGCTTTGACTAGAATGAGGCACGGCCGGGGGAGTAGTCCCCTTTAACTGTAGGATGAAATTTGGTGTGATAAAATCTAGTTCATGTAATGTTACTTTATGATTCAAGACGAAACACGTTTTAAAAAACTTTTAGAACTTTTTTATAATCAAATTTGAATGAAAACTCTTAAAAAGGTAAGCCATGAAAGAGCTTCCCATTTAAAAAACAACATAAAATTAAGCACTTGTTATTTCATTAGGAATAGCAGCCTTCCAGATGATGATCTTGGAATATAAGTTTAAAAACTCTTAAATCAGTTTCAAATTTTATTTTTCATTCTAAGAGTGCATTCCCATAGTATTTAGATCGATCTATCCCCGTGGGGAGTCTCACTAGATTACTGTCAGATAATCCGGCTTAAATGTCCGTCCCGCCTACTACAAGCTGCAAGGGGGTAATTAACTTTTGTGCCCAGTCGGCTGACGGCTATTTAGCGTGAACCCCCAGGGAGTTAGGTCGATCTAGTTGGATCGGAATGGGGTCTAAGTCGGTAGCATCAAATTTTTCAGCAGTATGTCCTTGTGCACTTTTCTTGACCAGTAACAGCTAGAAATTTTAGAGAGCATTCACATCGAGAAGAGCCGAGGTCTAGCAAGGCCGAGACCTAAATATGGCGGACCTACATGAAAGGAAGACCGCGTAATCCTTTAATGGTCTCTCAAAGATATTCATTGAGGAACGCGTAATCCTTTAATGGTCTCTCAATGAATGTCATTACGCGGTCTTACTTTCATGTAGGTCCGCCATATTTAGGTCTTGGCCTTGCTAGACCTCGGCTCTTCTCGATGTGAATGCTCCCTTAGTCGCCCTGATGTCATAAGAGCCAGATGGTTTAAAAAAGGCACCTAACAGTAAAATCATCCAATATCCAAGCCTGTATATGCCAAGCCTTCGAGGTGAATGATATGAATTGTCTGTGCCACGTATTTCGTACATAAATATCATTTTAACCGAAATACTGTGTTCTTGAGTTTTCCTTGCATCGTAATAAATAAATGATATCTGCAGAGATACACTGAGCTTTCACGCATCAAACCAAGATATCACTCAAGGTGTCCACGCACTAATCTGTGTGTGTTTTAGCTGCTGGGGCATTTATCAGCGGGAATGCACTGATCCAAGTGCAGGACAGTCCCAGTGGGACACTGGCACTTAGCAGGGCCGCATGTGTCCATGCATGCCTCGCCCAGGTTGTCACAGGTTTTCGTGCAGGGCGAGGAACACTCTACCCACTCCATACCGCCGCTACAGGATCCTAAAATCAAAATCAAAATCAAACTCAAAAGCTATCTTATTATGTGAAACAGTATGGTGCCTGTCATTTTGAAATAAACAAGGCATCAAAAATTACAATTGAATTACACAAGAAATCAAGTTTNATTTCATCTATCTAATACTGACAAATTCAGAAAAACACCCAAATTTTGACAATTTACTGTTATCTACATCCTTAATACAGTTTCTAGTTACTCTAGAGCTTCTGGGCATAGCTGATCTCTCGTCCAAAGATAAAGGCTACTGCCCCTTGCAAACTTATGATATTATACCCACACCGATACTGCCCCGAACCGTCACAGTCCCTCCCAGTCATCGCGTTTTAAATGGCGTTTGGAATTTGTCAATTTCAGTCCCATTATTGACAGTTTGGATTTAGAATTTTAAGAGGTCTATTTTATATGACGCACTTATACTATTACGGAGTAACGATTCGGGTTGGTAACGATGTGGGGAAGTAACGATGCATGCGGGTGAAACACGTTTGTTAGCTGTAGCCACATAGTACAGGATTGCGTGATTCTAAATTCGACACCAGTTTCGCTGTTATCGACTCCATATTGGCTGTACAGCATGATGGTAATTTTGACACATCCATTAAACCCATAAGTAACACTCGACTCTTGTCTTATTTCACTCTGTCTTTACAATTATTTATGATCCTAACTGTTAATCCTAACTTATGTCATGAACTAAAAGCGTCCGCCTTGTAATGTGCGTTATCGTTACATATATGGCAGTGTGCAGGCGCACGCGTGTGGTTTAGGTAACACCAGTGAACCCACCTGCCGCCACCAAAGGGCTTGGCGTTGGACATTCTGCCTCCGAAATGCATCTGCCATCCTTTAGAATAGGTGTTGGATGGACACACTGGCACTGGGCCGGCGCACACATCTTTATGCAAATAGGATTTGGCATCTCACACGTAGCAGGGCACATTGAAGCACATGTCTGGTACTGCTGGCCGGGAATGGGGCATTCTGGAGAGAAATATGACATTGCAATTTATTATCTTGTTACACCATGTAATATTAACCACGTCATGATGAAAACCAACTCCTTTATTTCAAAGGCATTATCTAAATGCTGAAACAGCTCAAAATAAAGTGAAAACAGCAACTTACACAGAGAGGGAAAGTAATATCAAAAAAATTTAAATAGTTTAAAAAAAAAGTCACTTTAAGCTTTGCAATTTGTGAAACATGTTATAATTACTTGAAAAAAGCAATATTATGATTTTACTAAGGTCGAAACACGAACTTCCAGCTGTGCAGCGACGAGGAAACCTCACCGTTATTTTGAGAAGTCATTTGACTTTCATCTGGGCAGGCCGACACACAAGTTCCATTGTGGAGATACGGGGAGAACTGTGAGCACTCACAGCCTTCAGGGCCGCACGAATTGGCGCACGCTGGGTTGGGGTTGTCGCAACTGCGCACTGCATCACAACTCAATGTGCAGCGTTTCCACACTTGGCCAGGAATCGGACAGGCTAGTAATGAAATAGGAGCGCAAGCACGGTTTACTCTAACTTTAAAACAATCTTCTTTAACAAATAAGTTAAAGGACTCATGAAATCTTGAAAAAAAGTTCTTCATCTAATAAAAAGTATTTCTCAAGAGTCCCCTGAAAGGTGCCTCTACATTAAATGGATACATGGTAGGACCCAATGTACATGTATTCTCACAAATTACATATCACTTAATGTGTTTTAATTATTTAACTCTCTGATATTTTATGGCATCATACCGTTTTGAAATATCCCTAAGAAAAGTAATTACACAGAAATAAATAAGCAATTTCATCCCCCAAAAAAACTAAATTAAAAAAAAAAACAAAACTATGCATTATATGATTATTGGCGTCCATCAATTCAAAACACGTTAGAGAATTCGTTCTTTATATTACAGTTATTCCATTACAAAAGATTAAATACCTGTAAAACATATGTTAACTTTGCAGTGTGCTTGCTATTTTATAATTTCAACTTTTAATATGTTCTAAATTTTGACAGAGCAAGTCTGACTAGGTGATCATGCTATTTATAGGTGTATGGGTGATAAATTAACTTTGACATGACATGGAATGTTTTTTACCAGCAGTAAAGTATGTGGATGACACTACAGTTTATGAGACAGTTCACCAACCATCTCCAAGGGAAATAGAACAAGGTGCCAAACCTACACAATCTAAAATTCCCATAGCAGCCTCAAACCTATATGAATGGACAAAACAAAATAACATGCTAATTAATCCTAAAAAAATGTTGAACTGTTTATCTATTTCAGTAAAAACCCAACTGTGCCTGATAACCTAATAATTGATGGTATAAAAATCGAACAAGTTTCACATGCCAAACTGCTGGGAGTTCATATCAGTTTTAATTTGAAATGGGACTTACATATAGAAAAAATTCTCTCAAAAGCTGCATCCAGACTGTATTTCTTATGCATGGTCAAACACGCTGGGGTGCCGAGATATGACCTCTTACAAATTTATAAAAGCTATCTCAGACCAACACTTGAGTATGCTTGTCAGCTATGGCATGCTGGAATTACCGCACAGCAATCTAAAGCCTTAGAGAACATCCAGAAAAGAGCTCTTCATATTATATACCCTGAACTCACTTAAAACGAAGCAATGGACATCACTGAATTACCTACCTTGAAATCTCGGCGTACTGACTTGTGCAAAAAATTATTTAATGAGATAAAACTGTGTACCCAAAGATTAAATCATCTTTTACCTAACACTCGTGTCATAGAAAAGGACCCCAGGAATGTTTATAGATATGTTTTACCAAAATGTCGGACAAAAAGATATAGAAACACTTTTATTCCATACTGTTTATATACATGTCAATGATCAAGGTCTATCCGTGAACTTTTAGCTTTAAAAAAAACAACGAATCACCATTTTTAACCTCATTATTGTTTTTATAATTTAGAATTTATCTTAAAGCTCTATTTTAATACTATATCTTTATACTTTTATCCATAAACATTCAATATATGTCTTATATATTGCAAAGAACACAATAAACCTTTATTATTATTTGACATGTAATCACGAAAATGTTTTGAGAAATGTACATTTCTTCATGGTGCAAAAAAATCCTTACCTGGTCTTACTGTGTCATCGCTTGCTGGCAGAACATTTTTATCCGGCATGGGTAAAACGGTCATTGATCCATCACCTTGGTTGTTATTTCCGTTAGTGCCGTGTCCCTGGGGAGGTTTGTGTGGCATGGGCATGATAACAACCGCTTGTAGCTGTTTGCAGTCAGCTATGGTAATACACTTGCCATCGTAAAGGATGGGCGCAGACTTGGGGCACTCGCATCGCGGTGGTCCACATATTCGCGTGTTACACCGTGGTTCAGGGTTTTGGCAGCTCGGAGACACATCACAGTTTGAGGAGCATTGTGTGTACACCTGGTTCTGGATAGGACAGGCTGCAGAACAGAACAATTAGAAGAAACCTTATGTACGTGATTTTGAGAATGTTGGCGTGCGTGGCCACGGCCTATTTTGCGGTGTGGCATACAGTTTATAATCTGTTTGGAAATTTGTTATTGTTATTTAAGCAGAATAATAAAAGAACGTATCGTCAGGTTATAATCATAATAAATATGTAAGAACCGAAATATATAATAATAATAATAATAATAATAATAATAATAATAATAATGACCCCTTATCGCCAAGGGCATGTCGTATTTCACTTCCTTGTCATGGGAAGTGTTTGATTAGAAAATGAACTGTTTGTTTAACTTTCATTAACCCGAAAACTTTTTAATTAATGAACATCTAAAACTACAAAATCTGCCGAAATTTCAAGATTTCCGGCTTGTGCTATTCTATAAAGTTGGTCAAAAACCAAGATCTGTCAATGGTAAATAAAGGAAAAAAATCAAATTTAGAGGCATGCTTCCAAATATTACTGCAGACAACTGATTTTAACCAACACACAGGCATTTCACCTTTATATGCTCAGTGTGCCGTTTTGCTACAGTGACTTTCTTCCTTCTAATGTACATTTTATTTCTCTGGCAATCAAGAGAGTATTTTACCATTTGAAGATGCTATCGGCTTCTTGACAGGGATTGGGTCAGCAGTCTCGGTGGAGACATCCGTTCTTTCTGCTGGAGATGGACATTCTGCAGCCGAGATGCACTTATTGTTGTAGAAGATAGGCGTGAACTGAGAGCACTCGCACCCTGGGGGTGGGCACGTGGTGTCTGTACACTCTGGATTAGGGTCCTCACATGTAGGTTTGCAGATGAAAGGACACTCCTTGTACACTTGACCCGGGGGGCATTCTGAAAAAAAAAAGAGGCCTAAATAAAGTCCGTGGAAGTCCGTGGAAGTACAAGAGGGTGTGGTATGCCTGTCTGTTTGGGCGTTAAGCTAGACTTCACTGCTGGTTTCAGGTTTTCTGGAGCAGGCGAAAAGTATGTTATTTGAATCTACTGGAGATATGTTAATTGATTATATATAGAAAGCCCCTGTCTTTTTTATACGGATAGAAATAACTTTTCATCACCTGTAAACAAATTGTTTCTAAACGTACGGGTAGCTGAATAGTAGAGTTTATGAAAGTCAAAAGCAGCGGTCTGGGCACGAACTGCAAAAAGAACGGGGATTGTTTAGCTTGGGCAGTTGGAGTTCTCAGGGCAAGAAAAATATATAAATCAACCTGTCGGCGCTTGGTTTTCTTCTCTTTCCCTTCCACACTCCTCAGAGCTCTTGCACACTCCTGAATCAAAGTGAGGTTTCTCCGGAGGACATGCGCACTTTAGCTCCCCACATTTCTTGAGGCACGACCACAGGTGGATCTGCGGCTGGTCCCTACAAGTAGGCTGCTTACATGGGGAGACACACCTCTGCAAAACCTGTCCACCAGTGCATTCTGGTTGTATAAAAGAAAAAAAAAGAGAAAAGAAAAGACAGATGGTCGATTACTCTGTCAAGTGCACTTACAAGTAATCCTAGACTGAGTGATATGCAGAGAATTAAACGAATGCTTAGGGGCAATAGGGTGCATCCGAGATAGCCCAAAGTCTCGCGATGTGCCCAAAAATCAAGTGAGATTTAGAGGAGAGTGGAGTCAGAAACAATGGCAAACTTTCGAGTGCAGTGGGACTATGAATAAAAACTAACATAATTAATCAACGGATACTTTTTCTGGTCGTTTTCTCTTAAAAGCACCCAGAAATGTTTGCGCCAAATTGAATTTTACCTGAAGGAAAACCAGTTTCTCATACCCAAGAAAAATTGCTCGAAAAATAAATTCCTATATTCATTTGCAATTAATTGACGCATAAGTGAATTTATATTACCTGAAGGTGGCTCTTCCGTTCCTAAAAGATTAGAAAAAAATAGCCTTTATTTTCTTTCACTTACGAATAAAACAAGAAATCGCATTGTGAAGACACTATCGGTTAGCCATAGTGAATGCCGTAATTGAATTCTTTACTATACTGCAATGTGTCAATGAACAATGAGCAGTGCATAATGTACCTGTCTCTGAGCTGGTCTCAGCTTCAGGTGAAGAAAGAATGCATTCTGACACTTTGGGACACGGTGCCCGGATGCACTGGACGTCTTTTTCCACACACGTATGACCAAAGGGGCAGTCCATCGTCTGCAACGATAATACAGTCAGCCTTTCAGAAGATAACATATGCAGTTTGAGTTGATTGCAACTACGGGACTTTTGAGATCTGAAACGTACGTGTGTGTGTGTGTGTGTGTGTGTGTGTGTGTCAACAATAGCACCGATACATTTCTTAGCTAATCAATTATACGGTTTAGCGTATCTGACCATTGCATTGTATTGCATGATTACAGCCTTACTGCGCAAGTCCGTGCCGGTTGCAATTTGATTGGTCCTCCAATAGAAACTGCCCCCGTCGGCTGCCAGCGGGGTATTCCAAATACTGCAGCGTTGCCCTGAAGTGGGGTAAACTGTCCTCTCCCGCCAAAGTAGCTCACATCAGTACCTATCATTAAGTATGTTGATGAGAATATCAAATCCACACCTTACATTCTCTAATTTAGCCAAATACTTTAACTGACTTAAATTGCCTAAACAAAATACCAGTAGGGTTGATTTAACTTGTTTAAGTAAAATTTACACCATTTCAGAAAAAAGTGATGAAAAAGTAGTGATTTGCCTAAGAGAAAAAATTGCCAGCGCTACTTTGCATTTATGAATTAGCCAATTCGTTTTGGCCTAGTTTACCCCGTGTATTCCACCCGTTGTTATACTGTGTTTGAGTAGTGATCAAAAATCGGCGTTTCAGAGACAACGCGGGGATTGCATATACATATATGTTCACTCATAACGTCGTTTAGCCCACTATCAATCATCCGTCCATCTGCGGTCTTGTTTCAATTGACAGCCATTTTATAAAATGGCAACGCTTGTATTTTCAATTTAGACATAGCAAATGGTCGCACAATCAAGGTGCATACTTTATGGACAAAAATGCACATATCATGTGCATCTGAATTGTAACATTTATACATTGTTTGGTGGGATCATCTGGAAAAGGGGGGGAGGGGCATTTATTGCTGGTAAAATGTTTAATGCGTACATAAAGATAAACCTCATTTTAGATTTATAGTTACATAACAAGCGAGCATTGATTCCCTGTAACGCATATAAATCACAATAAGCAGTTTTATATGACTCAAAATCCAAAGGATAAACCAAATTAATCACTCAGCCAACATAAATAAGCTTTTAAACTGCATCTTCTTCAATATCCTGATTGTAAGCAAATATCAAAGTTTACTTATACTCATGTTTAATGTAGAATAGAATGATACGATATAATATATTGCCTATTTTTAAAAAAAGGCATTGACTACTCTAGAGCTAGGGTAGGAAACGAAGTTCGCCTACATTTGCCGTAGCTTTCAATCTGCTCACTATGTTGCAATACTAGTCGCAATACTTGTATCCAATACTTGTACAAAAATGTACAATCTATATTTCACATCTTACATCAGAACTGAAGCTGGATATTTAGGTCAGTAGAAGACTAGATTTTAGTAGAACTGTGCTGTGCTACATGTATATATCGTCACCTATCCTTCTTGTACGACAGCACAGGTCATATCATGGACGAAGAGAGGCAGGCAGTTAAATGACCCACAGACAATGGCATACCCTTTCACACGCTTTACTCATTTTTTCCAAATTGACAGCATAAGCACCAAAAACTCACTGGTCTGTGCAACTCCGCACTTTGCTTGACAAGCTGCCATGCTGACGAAATTGTTTGCGTTCCCCCCACAGCCACCATAGAGGAACGACTGGCATTGCTTAGAGGCCGTGTTGTAGCGGTACCTGGTCATATATCCATAGCAAGGGCCGCGATCAGCAGGCAGCGAACACTCTGAAACACGATTACCAGCCACAGCGTGTATTTAAAATTCCTACAAAAGTATAACTTAAATATTCTTCCTCGATGTCTCACAAGGATAGAGCCAAGGCTCTTATGAAAACCTCTATCAGTAAGAATGCAGAAAAGCGCGACAAAATGAGGGTCTTACATGATTATTAATGACTAACAGATTATTATTTATTTCGCCAGTGTTCACTGTTCACTGTTGCTCCCACAGCAAAGTAGTAACCCCATTGTGCTCAGTCATCTACTGTCCTATTTAAGCCTCTATCCTGCTCTCGATCAACGACCCCCCCCCCATCGAATCATCTAATTATTCCCCATAGCAACACACTACAAATACTTCTATAGAAGTGATGATAGTCACAGTAACCTCCCTTGCCCCACCCCTTCCAATACTCAGCATACTTCTCGTACCCACAGACTACCACCACCTCTCACCCATGTCGTCATCTCGCAATTAATGGCAAAACACCTCCACTTTATTCAAAAGATAAATGTTGATAAGATTGACTTCAAATACTGATCTACCTCACCATCGTTTGCCCCCTAGGCCTCCTTCCCAACTTCGTGGGTACACCCTTCTTTACATCCTCTTACCCTCATGAATATCGTCAGATTATAGATATTATACGATGAAATGTTAATTGTTATTAGTGCATTCCTTACCACTTTTGGTGACGCACTTAGCTTGACAAGTTGCCAGACTGGCGAAATTGTTTGCGTTTCCCCCACAGCCTCCATAAACAAACGACTGGCATTGTTTACTGCCCGGGTTGTAATAGTACCTTGTCCTATAACCATAGCAAGTACCACTATCAGCAGGCAGCGAACACTCTGAAATATGAATATCAAAATATCAATGTGCATCCTGTGGGTTAACATGTAGGCCTACAAACATCTTAAAAGCAAACGACCATCTTTAGAAAGTGGTCATAAATTACATCTATTCACTGAACAAATAGAACTTAAACATTAATTACGTTATTTTGCCTATCTTTAGATCAGATTCAATAGCTTTTACAAGGCGCCTTTAATACTCCATTAAGAACCATAATCAGAACGAAATGTTGTAAAAAGACTCAAATCTGATGTCCCTTCTGGGACTCGAGGTAGAAAACGCCTTATCCGAATGGTTAAAGTTATGTTGTAAAGTCCAGTGTGTAATTTTAATCGTAAGGTGTACATGTATATGAAACAGGGGATTTTATAGTACAAGTGGGATATAAGGTAGGATATTGGATTAATGTCTTGTTATTTCTACAACAAAACCAAGAAAACTGATTACCTAAACCACTGTCGGTGGTTGATTTCGACAAACAGGTTGATTCACACTCGCTTTTAGTTTTAAAGTTGTTTCGGGTACCGCCGCAACCCAAGTAGTAGAAGGCCATGCATTTCTGCGCCGCCGCGTTGTAGTAATACCTGAAGTGAAGCAATGTCAAAATGCAAGGGTATGCCTATGGATACTGTTATGAATAAAAGAAACACTTGAAATTTTGATACATTAACTGCTATGCACGGGACAGAAAATTGTCACACAAACAGTAATTTATAGACATTTGTTGCTGCAGCGATGCCGGATATTACTTCAGAGAGTCATCAATTGATCGGTTACGTACCTATACTCCCCCGCACCGATACTCCCCCGCACCGATACTCCCCCACTTCTTTACATCCCCGCACCGATACTCCCCCGCACTGATACTCCCGCGTACCGATACTCCGCAAAAACACTACTCCCCCAAGGCATAGATTCCCTTGGCTTTGTAAACCCCATTCATAATTTACAACACTTTCTATAATGCTTTTTTTTTCAAGATGCACCACCCTCTTGGGACCTAGAGTTGACTAATTTTATTCGAAATATATTGGGAAAAATAAAGAACGTTACACGAAGTCAATCTCAGACTTAGTGTGCAGCTTGACAGTGCGTAGGTCTACAGCTCTTCCTTGTGATTTTTGAGAAATGTTTTTGCAAAATTAATTTCGTTCTCCTACTGTACTCAGTAGTTACTGTATATATATTGTACGGCCTTTTATTTATTTATTTATTTATTTTTTGATTTTTTTATTAACTTAAGGCAAAGTTATTTTTAATCTAAGATAACGCAGCTATGTCTTTTTTTTTCAGGCAACGATGAATTCGTAAAATTATTAAGTAATAAAAAAAGAAGTGCTAAAGCGCTTCGTTTTCTGTCTTTTTCCTCCAACCTTCTTTTCTGCTCTTTAAGCTTCTTTTCCTAGTCTTTTGAATCTGAATTAGATTAGAATCTGAACTGAGCAAAATTCAAAAATTTTGAAAATTGTTGCACAACGAAATTGTAGAGACACGAGCATGCGTCGTGAGCACGCCTTTTATACTCGCAGTCCTGTCGTGTTTTCGATTTTGTTCGTTATAAAGATGTGAGGGCGTGCGCCGTACTCAACACGCAAAGGGCTCTTTCTCCTTCATTTCTTGCGGCGTGCATCTTGAACCAGGGAAGTCTCACTTGCAAACCAATCGCAAACTCCTTAGAAAGGGAGCAAATTACGCTTACGGCCTCGCTGTTCGCAGATTATTCGTAGAATCTATTGGAAATGTTCAATATCCTCTGTACGTGCTTACATACGTGCGAACTCGAAATTTCGCATAAAGGACTTGCGTGGTACATGAGATTCTCCGCAAAATTTGGACTTAAACGGGTCGAAGATTTTGATCCACTTACCTAGACTGACCCTAACCTGTATAATTAAATGGAGGGTTGACTCTGTTACTCGATCCTCAGTTTCGTCAAAATTGCATAGGGGGAGTAATGATGCGGGGGAGTATCGGTNACGGTGCGGGGGAGTATCGGCATGACCCCAATTGATCGCAACTTCCGTTATTAAAGCCTAGATTACATTTGTCATGCGATGATATCAGGGGCTTCTAAAATAGTATACAAAACTCCACTGTGCCATTCAACATTTTTGTAACAGACTACTAGCACACCCTGTGGTCAGAGAGTACGATGTCCGTGCGGTGCTGGTACACTGCCCATGAAGCCCTTTTTCGTGCGTCGTATGTGCGGAGGCAGGCGGTGAAATAGTACGAAATCGTGAGGATTCACAGCCTCCGTAGCCTCTGCGATTTTGTCATGCTTAAACTTTTAACAAAATTTTTCAATTGTAAGCCCGTATGCCTAATCACACCGGCATTTTTTGCAACATTATCTATGAAATACCGGATCACAGATAACTTTTTTATTTTTACTAAATATTCAAAGATGTGCCATGTGTATTCAGTGCATCTTTCTTTTGTGACCAGAGATTAGACATTTTTTGTGTGGAATAAATGTCATCACTTAGCTGGATTTTAGTGTAGAGCAGTCACTCAGAGGGATTGTAGAAGTGACTGGTTGTTTGCCTGATGTACCGATAACGCATCGATCTTCAAGGAGGCCGCACATAAGGCAACTCCATCGAGACTGAAAAGGTTCGTGCCGTTACGTATACGATTTCATCGGAAGGCACCAACAGCAAATGTAATCTAGGCTTTAATCGTGCTAAGCCAAGGAAGAGAGCAAAGTTGTGAAAAATAACAGCTTGGCAACAATGTACGCCGTAATGTGGCAGAATATATTAATCAGGGTATGTCACTCATTCCAATTAGCATTAAATGCCCGATGTATATAGTGCAAGTATGCGAAGACAAAAATGTCCTTATGAATAACATCATATAATCATACAGCGGCGACAAAAGAAAATGTGTTTCAGCTCTCCTTGAGAACTCAACTCTTCCTTGCATCACCCTTACCTCTGTCCAAACTGTTGCGGGCACCATGACCCCAAGCTGGTGGCTTCCTCACACTGTCCTTTGGTGGGCGTCGCACTCCTAACACCTACCACATGGTAAACAAAAGCTGCTGAATACAAACTCTGCATCCCACTGCTGCCATGATTTAGTATTCATGTACCTCGTAGCTAAATTTTGTTGGTTCATTAAGTATCTCCACATTCATGAATTCATAGAAGGAGTTTAAATCTTGTTAAATTAATGTCAAACGGCGTAAGGCAAATATACACTTTTTGGAAAAGTGGTACAAATCTAGGTATTTCTAAGACCAAATTTGTTGTAGAACACGAATTCGTCGAAAATCTTTTGTCTGCAATCACGTCTGGAAGCTTAAAGCCTAAAAGATTGCACTTGACACCAAAATAACATATCACTTTGCATTGACCAAACACATTGAAATGTGGATAAACGAATCATTACGTCTTTTCCTACGCTTTCAATGTCAGTGATTACGTACTTAACACTTAAGAAGCAGCAAAGCCGTAAAATATACAGACATAAAAGCAAATGATGATGCACAAAAAGGTAATTTTGACAATTTCGATGCAATTTTACATGATGCTTAAAAACAAAATCAACACCAAATTTTAACGAGTTTAAGCTCGATTAAATTAAATGGTAGATGTGGATTGGCCCATTTGACATTGAAATAGGTCAAAGTGTCAAATTTGAGATCATATTCAAAATGTCCACATCCCATAATACCTTCGGTTTGGGAGATAATTAGCATTTAATTTCAAAATAGCATTACTTTTGGAAAAACGATCAAGCTGATTTTCAAATGCAAACTGTACGTTATTAATTATCATCACCTCTGTAAATTTAAAGGGAAAAGGCCGAACGGATTCCTACTTATCGTGTTATCACTGAAAATGCAAGAGCGACGACAGGCGCAAGTGATGGCTCTTTGTTAAGACACGATGTGTCTGTACATAAAAAGTGATAGAATTTAAAATAATTCAACAGATAGATAGATATATGGGTTATAATCAATGTAACCTACATCTTGCTCCATAAAAAGCATCATCCACACATGTTGTTCCAAGCCTACATCGCAGCGTCTGAAATATGTAAATTATAACGTTTGTCCTGTTTAGTAAAACGTTAGTCTTAAATGCGTTCAAGGATGAAGACGGGGTGGGGGGAGGGGGGGGGCAGGAACGTAGCTATCATCTTAACCAACAAAGATATAGCAACATGCTGCATATAAGTGAAAAGCTAATTTCAACAGCTATTCATTTTATGTCATTATTTCACTGCGTAATAGTTACGTAAGGTTAGTATGTTTACTCAGAAAAAGATGCCAAAACTAAGAATTTCCAGTCCATGAAAGATTACATTTATTCGTTAGATCTAAGCTGTGTGTGATGGAATATGCTCAAGGATTTAATAATACCAGCTTCATTTTCAAACTATGAGTGTTTCTGTTATGGTAGAAGTATCGTTAAAGTGGTATTTTCGTAAATTGTGACATATTTGGTAATTCAGCTCATATCAAGAACTTGAAACACATTTCTGTTGATGCCAGAGGAGGCAAATAAACTAAGCTATCTAAACCTGTGTCTGTATAGTGGACTTTCAGTTTTAAGAGAATAAAAATCAGTTTTAGAAAATCTATTAAGCGTTATATCTCCTTACGTAACCACTTTGTAATAAAATAATGAAATGCAATGAATAGCTGTTGAAATAAGCTTCTTATCAATATGCCGTCTTCATCCTTAATTTGTTTCGATGAGCTGCATTGATATGGTTATAGATGGGCATCAATTTGCACGGATTATACTTTTAGTATTGTATTAACTAAACCAGTGCATAAAAGTTAATGAAGATGACTTTTTTTTCCAACTTCATTACATTGGTTCTTTATTTATTTTAAATGAATTTTAAAACATCTCTTATAGTGGTCAGGATTAATTTAAGAAAACACTGTACGAATTATGTCAGAGCTGTCTTTCTTATACTTCTTAAAGATGAAGGTATTTTATATACCAGGCATGTGTTCCTTGCGTATGCTCCAGTGTACGGCCTGTAAGCAGAGTTGTAGGGGCGAAGGCCGAAGGTATTATACGTCCACTGGGTACTGCTTAGAGACAGCACCTGTAGCGTAGAATAAAGGCTAACCATAAACATACTTACACATTCATGCACATTATCTAGAAGATTGTTCTTGTTTCCCCAGGATTCTATTTACTAACGTTTTAGATATACTGATCACTAACTTTGGGGAAAAATATGAAATAGCTACATTTCGTTCTTATCATAAGGCCATGCTTCAGGCCGAATGATGCTCTTGTGACAATAGCGAAGCGTACCTGTTGCATAAATTTTGTTTCAAAGCAAAGGTACTGTCCTATCACACCTAGCGCATATGAAAAAATTGCCCATACGCAAGGGCCTCGTTAAACATGCGCCGTACACGTTTCGCGTACGCAGAAAACGATGGCATTTCCCGGAGGGAGATAAAATATTAAGGACACACACACACACACACACACATTCATACGCCACTTGTCACTTCATTTCAACAGGGCATTTTCATACCCCTAAAGTTGTGCGTATAATCGATGGCACAAACTAAAGTTTTACGAACCTCTTTACACGAGGTGTGACAGCGACTTAAGTGATTATATCACTGAAAACGTCAGTAAACACTTGTATGTCGACAAAAATTATGCAACAAATTATTGTAAATATAGCTTTAAAAATATCAATCAGACTCGCAAATTGTTGGACAATATCAAACATAGTCTTTATAAAGTAGCCATTGTACCAGAAAATTTTATACAATAAAATTCGAGAGTTGCATCATTCGTACAACATTAACAAGCCTTCAAATGATACCTATCTAGAGTTATATATCTTTAGTGAATATTAATGCAAACGACATATAAAAAGGTGAATTTTTGAGAAAATTCTTGTTTTTCCAAACATTCAGAATTTAGGAATACTTACTTGTGCCAGTGCAAGTATTGTTAATGTAGATTTTCTGGTCATTCTGGTATTCTGCCTTGGTTAACTTTCTATTTTATCGACATCCACGGATACCAAAGCGATTTCCCTGTGTCTGGCCGCAGACGCACGTATTCTTAGTTCATACACAGCGCTGGTTTTATAAGAAGTTGTTCTGATGTGAGAATTTTTTACACTTTTCTTCAGAGAGACAATTCCCGTACGGTTTCACAGGTTTTCATACAATTAATGTTCAAAATATATTTCCATTAACTGTATTATATCCTCATTGGTTGCTGTATTGTGTGAACATACCTCTATACAATATTTGGACGAGCTTATCACGAGCAAATTATATCCTTGTGGCCACTAGTGGTATCTGAAGCATGGATGTCTGTAAATAACTTCTTTCATGTTATCTTTGCGATACGCATTGTTTCCACGCGAATCACGTCTTGGGCCAGTGAACCGCTCAGATAGGAGCGTGACAGATTCCCTAGTGTTCGACACTGAATACGAACTAGTGCTTTCTTGTGGTACCTTGCAAATTTAACAGTTGTATGTGCCCCAAATGTACAAAAGCCCATCACTTATGCTTAAATAAAAAACAGGACTTAATATAAAAATAGTCATTATACTAAGAGTCCAATTTATGTAACCATGTCCACTATAAGGCCTTAATTTATTAATTATCTATTTATTTTTTTTAATCAAAGAATTAATCATTTTATAAAATTATTCAACTGTAGAAATTTTCTGCCAATAAGTTACACATGCTGTTTTGGTATTGGGTGCACATGCTAAGGCCAGCTATGTCATTGGGTAATAAAGTTATTATAATGATGCAGCTATGAAGATCTACTATAAAGATGTAATATCCTATCCTAGCTTTCGACTCTTAGGCCTTCTTCAGAAATATGAATAAAAAAACCGGTAAAAAAAACTCCTAGGATACGTGACGTCGTTGATGTGTTAAAGAAACGCTATGTCACAATTAAAGCGTGCTTAAAGTAAACGTCGTCTAGATTACGTGACACTGAATCCTATTTTCCTTTTGTCTTCAAACTTTCAGAACTAATGAATATTCATAAAACGCAGGTCGAGTTTGAAAATCAGCCTGATTGGATTATTTTTGTAAAAGTTATGCTATTTTTTTTTCGTTTTTAGCTTACATAATCCACCGTTATACAAATAAAATGAAAATTGTTTTACCTTTTGTCTTTAAACTTACAGAACTGATGAATATTTGTAAAATACAGGTCGAGTTTGAAAATTAACTTGATTGGACCGTATTTCCAAAAGTTATGCTGTTTTTAAACATATTTTATCCACTGTAATACAAAGAAAATGAACACCATGTCAAATTTTGCTTTGATTCTTGCTGGACTGATTTATAGGTCCAATATACAGATCAAGTTCGAAAATAAGCTTGATCGGTTTATTTTTGTTGAAGTTATGCTGTTTTTTATGTGAGTTTTCCTTCGATTCAGTTATTAGGCACATTTTAAAATAGTATCAGTATTGAACTAATAAGATTTGTAAAAATGTTCTTTTAACATTATCTGCAACTTAGCAATTATGTTCGTTAATTATATATAATAAAATAATGGCAAATCTGTTATTGTGTATTGTCTAATAAAGTGTCAAAAATGGAAATTAACTCATATCAGTGCAATTTGTCAAATTTTAATCCCTCACTATGTTCAGAATCTCAGAATGGAGCAAATTGGATATTTTTTCTTTCTTGTTGTCTGTACATTTGGAAGGTTTGCTGTCTTGTCATGGTCTTGTACTTCACGTTATGCAAGTGTAAATCCCTCTCAGCAGCACGGTTGATTCTACGAACTGTTTTATTATCAGTTTCATCAGGCCGTCACAATAATGGACAATAGCGTGAATTTAATGCGTGCGTAATATGAAAATAAACTAACAGAATAACATGCTCACTTTGCTCCGTTTATTTCTTCTTCATTTATTAAAAGACACTGAGGTTTAGTGGTCAACACGCTTTGGTGGCAAGGAACTCACTGAAAAGATCGTTTTCCAAGTACCAAAAGACGAAAGACTTCCTTAATTATTTTCTTGTCATTATAATGCCTATTAACATGAAGTGCTGTGTACTCCCGGGATTGCATTTTTATATTTCAAAACCTGCTACCAGAAAGATCAACACTTCTCAAGTCAAGGTTTCCATGAATCCAGTCAGTCTGCTTTGATTTAATTTTAAACTGTTCCTGTCGAAGTTGTGTCAAACACTATGTAGCGTAGTTTACTGGAAAAAATATCTTCACGCTATTGTACGGGATGTTAGTTTTCCGAAAATGATAAGCTGCAATGCTGGCGCTGTTTAACGTTCTTTGTAAGCCTTTTTCTAGTTATAGAAAATAAGTGGCTTATTCGAGTCAACAGATGTAGACCAACTTATCATAATCGGGCATGTTGGTCCATGTGTCACGCCGTCATTTAAAAGCATGTTTTTCCATGAACTCAAATTGTGTTCCGGCTACCGTAACGATAGTTTAGCCTTCGTCCATCTACTTAGACTGGGTTCTCATACCTAGATCAATCTAACAAGATCGATTCATCTCCAAGGGGTTTCTTGCTAAATTGCTTTCAGCTTAACCGGCTAGATGTCTGGCACGCCTACTGAAGCTGCTAAACGATTATTACCCTCTAGCAAGTTGATTGCAATTTAGCGAGAATCCCCTCGGAGATAGATCGATCCACAGTTAGTAAGATAGGGTCTGGGAAAAGCCCTTAATATTCATAATTAGGGTGCTACAACACCAGCCCGTCCAGTGTTTATAGGTCGCGTATGACTTCTATCAAGATAAAACCACACGACAAAGTAATTTCCTCGTCTCTTTAATAAGGCAGTAATGCTAACAATTTATATTACTTGACATATGTTCTGTGAATAATAGTGATGATATCTTTGGCCAAATTCCTTAACCTCGCTTTTGCGAAAAGAAACTGTGCTTCATCTTCCAATTAGTGACGTCTATGGCTACAAATAATTACTGTAAATATAAAGGTACATCTCACATCGTAGAAAACATAATTAATTTCTATATCTTAGGCATGTATACGATACTTAAGAGTATGATGCTAGCGTACGATCAATGCTGTGAGCAGTTGACTCGGCATTAAGACCGTACCTAGTTTATGATTATAGAATACTGGATATGTAATATGTAATGTGTTATAGCGATGCTTGTCTATACATGTAATTTTATTGCTATAAAGTTCCTTTATTATTATTACTATTATTGTAATTTTTTGTGTTGTTGCTATTACTTTGTCTCTGTACATTTTCACAAGCTTAGTCTAGTGTAGAAAGTATGAATAATGCATGTGTATGTTTTGTAGACTGTACGCACAACATGTAAATGTATTAAATTACTATAAAAAACACTGACCAATCACGACACCAATCCTTTTAGAAAATGAAAGGTGTAAAACGTGACATATCATAAAGTGTCGAGCCCACGAATAGCTGACAAGCGATAACGCGGACTTGTAGATTATCTTGATAATGGATATCGTAAAAGTGCAATCTCGTACCTGGGCCTGGCTGGTAATGTATTGAATAACGGGTCTCTCCTAACTGCAAAAGCACTCTCAACGTCAAGCGAGCGAGATAATTATTGCTGACGTTCACCACAATGGCCTCAACTTTGGAAATGAAATGACAACCCGATGTCACGGTCCCAGAGTCTCGTCATGCTCGACCGTCGTGAGAAAATTGGAATTGTAGTATATAAAATAATTTTTTGGTTTATTGACAATACTTTTTCCAGCTTAATCTGTCAGATATCGCAATAGCCCATCTATTAAAGGTATAATAACGGCAGTAAATGTAAGCTACCGGTTGAAAGAAGCGATACAGCCACCTGTTTATGTAGCGCAGGCTGGATTAGGTAAATAACAGATATAATAACACACATGAATACAGGAAAAAAGCCACCAAATGAACATATATACAAGACGAAACTCACAGAAGCTGCAACATTTAAACAGAATAACAATTTAATAATAAAAGTGAACACAAAATGTTTTTTAAAAATTTAAATTTAATATTATACAATGCTGAACAGCATAATTACCACTTATCTTTAACTATGTACTGTAGCTTACATGATCATTGTGAGAATGTAACCAGCACAGAACGTCAGGCAGGTCAGTGAGCTTTATAGTTAGAAATTTGGTTCGATGTATTTTCACGCAACAGCATTATCACTTAACATGACAATGGTTATTAACGTATATAAGCGGATAAGGAACACAATCCGAACGCACCATGTTCACACACCATGTACCCATAAAATGCTGAACTCATTAATATGGAGAGCTGTCAGATGCACAAGAAAGTTGGGGCATATTTACGCTCAGCACTATGTTTAAAGATACATTTAAAATATTGCCACAAAAACCTACCAAATGCCCCCATATAATTTCAAGAGTATAATTAGATAATTAGATAAAAGTGCGCAAATAATAATCACTCTCACTCCAACATCTATGCATTTAGAACAGATGACCCGTGAACTAACAGGTCTGCAGATCAGAGCGCGCATTCAGAACAGATGCAGGCTAACTGATTCACCAATTAAGTATGGCCGACCCCACTTTAAAAGCGATACCGTTAATATTCCCTGCTAGCCTACCCGCCTTCACACGCGACGTCGGGGAGTAGCAATTAAACCTCGGAGCCGAGATTTAATCAGTACGTCATGTCAAATAGTATACGGCTGTTTCACAATCAGGGTGAACAATTAAATGTGGTTAATGTTACAAGTGTCTGATAAATTAGCAATTTATGATTAGAGATTGCTGATAGACTGATATTAAAGACATTGTTCATAGGAGCAAAATAAAAAAAGAATTATAATAATCAGACTACAATTTTCAAAAATAGCCAATTATGTGTTCAAAAAGTACCTATTTTTAGCTGTTACGATGGGTCATTTGCAATTGAGGTCATAAATATGATGCACTAGCTCTTTATGTCAATGATTTATGGTGAATATGATATTGGTATATAATTCCCACAACATATGTTTTCTCTTCTAGCAGGTTCTTCCAAAGAAATGTTCTGAGAAAAAAATTATTTTAACCATTTTGCTGAAACAGGCTTTTGTACACATTTTACTTATTTTTGTTAATGCAATGAAAAACATATTTGATAAGGCCAAATATTACTTTGAAATCACCTACGTGATAATAAGATGAATTTACCATGTTATGACTTAAACATAATAAAGGAGATGTGCATATGTAACCATTATTAATAATGCTATGGTATTTATAATCATGAGCCCCTTGGTGTCTCCTAATTTTTGTAGTGTCCGTACCCCCCCTCCCCTCCTATCTGTTTTATTTAGGAATCAC